TTTTTTCTGTTGACATTTTTGGAATTTTAAAATATTTTTGAAAAAAAGAAGCCTTCTGAAGTTTCCTGAAGCCACCCAAAGTCATCAGAAGCCTCCTGGAGAATTCTAAAGCCTTCTGAAGTCATCTGTAGCCTTCTGAAGCTTTCTGAAACCTTCTGAAGCCTTCTGAAGTCTTCTGAAGTATTCTGAACCCTTATGAAGCCTCCTGGAGCATTTTGAAATCATCTGTAGCCTTCTGAACCTTCCTCCTCTCTTTAAGAAAAATAGGCTCCGCCCATTTTACTACATACTAGTAGCCTCCTCCTTTTTTCCCTTTTTTTCTATCAAAACCCAGCCAACAACAAAAAAAAAATAATTCTTTTCTGGGAAAATGTTTGCGGTGGGAACACGATTTTTTTGAACTTTTTTTTTTCTCGCGCGCGAAATTTTCTCACATTCATTTTGAATGCTCAATTAATTCTGCTTCTTTAGAATATTCCTATGAATATAAAATTTTATTTTATTCAACTTTTTTTGCCGTGTGAAAGTTTCAAGGGCTTTTCATTTTTCGAAAAATCTGAAGATCTGAAGGAGGTGAAATTGAAATTGAAACTTTTCTGCCCGAACATCTGGATACCCTTTTCACTTTTCTATTTGATTTTTTCGGGGGTTTTTGTTTTTCATGAGAGTTTAGAGAGCTTCTGAAAATCTTCTGGGGTTTCTGAAACTTCTGGAGACTTCTGAAATTATTCTGTATCTTCTAGAACTTCTCCAGACTTTCTAGATTCTTCGAGAAAGCTTCCAGATTTTTTCCAGGTTTCTAAAAACTCTTGGATTCTTTAGAAACTTCTGAAAATGTTTTCAGAATTTCTGAAGTCTTTAAAAATTTTCTGAATCCTCTAGAATTTCTCAAAGCTTCTGAAAAACTTCTGGATTCTTTAGAATTTCTACAAGCTTTTAAAAATCTCCACAGAATTTCAGAACTTCTCCAGACTTCCTAGATTCTCCGAGAAAGGTTCCAGATGTTTTCCCAGGTTTCTGAAAATCTCCGAAACCTTCTAGAACTTTTTCCAAGATTCTGTTGCTCTCTAGAACTATTCCAGACTTCTGAAAATGATATCAATGATCACAAGAATTTGCAGACTTCTGAAAATCTCTGGAACTTTCCCTAACTCTAGCTCAAGTTAGCTTAACTCTAACCAAATCCTCACTGTCCTAAATATAAAAATCCGAATTTTTTTCTTGATCTTTTCCTGATCTTCTCTAGATTTTCCAGTTTCCCAAACCTCCTCAATCTCTGTTTTTTTAACCACTTCTTCTAGATTAAATAGATGACCTTTACTAATATATTCCTTCCTCCTTTTTTCTCCCATCTTGTAAGAGGTATACCATAATTAGTGTGATTTTATTATTATTATTATTATTATTGTTATTATATTTATTTTCTTCTAGTTCACTAGGTCCAGATTACTGTAGAAATGAGTATAATGATTTTTTTGTGTTCGGGACACATGTCCATTTTTTTTTTGAAAATTATCTGACGAATTTTGTACAGTACAGATGTTTCCCGAGATTTTTCTCTGACAGATGTTTTATTTTTTTTTTGAGTTATTCTAAATTTAGACTAACTTTGGGCCAGGCTTTTTGTAGACTAGAGTCTAGTTTTGCGCTCTGGAGCGTTTTGAAACCGTCTAAAGCCTTCTGAAGCCCTCTGAAGCCTTCTGATTCTTTCTGAAGCCTTCTGAAGCTTTCTGAATAATTCTGAAGCTTTCTGAAGCCCTCTGGAGCCCTCTGAAGCTCTCTGAATTTTTCAGAAGCTTTCAGAATTCTTCTGAAGCTTTCTGAATTTTCCAGAAGCCTTCTGAAGCCTTCTGAAGCTTTCTGAAGCCCTCTGAAGCCTTTTGAAGCCTCCTGCAGACATTTTCAGCCTTCTGAAGCGCTCAGAAGCCTTCTGAAGCCTTCTGAATTCTTCAGAAGCTTTCTGAATTTTTCTGAAGCCTTCTGAAGCCCTCTAAAGCCTTCTGAAGCCTTCTAAAGCTTTCTGAAGCCTCTCTAGATTCCCAAGGCTCAAATATTCTCAAACTTTTTTTTGAAATTTTTTTCTAAAAACACATGTTTTATGATTTTCTCACAAATATGTATTCCCGAGAACATCTATTTTTTCCCGCCCAAAAATTATCCGCGAAAAAATGCACACACACTCATAATTAAAAGCTGTGAGGTAAAACGAAGTGTGTGTGTGGTGCCAGATGGTTCATCTCCTCATATTTTAATCATTATAGAAATGAAATGAAAAATAATAATAATTTCGCTTCTCCTCGATTAATCGCCTTTTTAATTGGCTCACACACACACATTTTAACTTGCGGAAAAAAAAATTTCAATTTTTTTTTTTAAATTTTAAAAAGCTTTCTGGGCTTTCCAAGGCTTCCCATAAAAGGATCACAAAAATTTATGAAAAAAAAAGTTTCACTGGTCAAAAAAAGTTCCATTCCGCTCCACAAAACCTATACAAGTTTGTCAAACTCATAAATTTTTCAAAAATCCTTTTTTTTGTTCAAAAAAAATAATGAGTAAGTACTGTAGTCTTCAAGAAGAAGAAGCATGCATAAATTATAAACTATTATTATTATTTATAAATGTGTGTGTGGTATAACTACTTGTTAATTGACTATTGAGTTTATTCTCACACACACACACATATTTTTTCACTTGCCCCAAACAATAACAATAATTATATATTTATTTACTTACGTATTTATTTTTTTTCTTGCTTCAGGGTTAGGACAAAAAATAAAAATATTCATAAAGGAACTCTTTTTTTGTTGGGATTTTTTGAAGCGGAATATTTCTTTAGAAAAGTTTTTGGAACTTTTGGGAAGCCTTGGGAAGCCTTGAAAACTCTCTAGGCTCTCTAACTCTCTAGCTTCTCTAGGCTCTCTAGGCTCTCTCGGCTCTCTCGGCTCTCTAGGCTCTCTAGGCTCTCTAGGCTCTCTAGCCTCTCTCTCTCTCTCTATCTCTCTAGGCTCTCTAGGCTCTCTAGGCTCTCTAGCCTCTCTCTAGGCTCTCTAGCTCTCTCTAGCCTCTCTAACCTCTCTAGGCTCTCTCTAACTTTCTAGGCTCTCTAGCCTCTCTAGCTTCTCTAGCCTCTCTAGCCTCTCTAGCCTCTCTAGCCTCTCTAGCCTCTCTAGCCTCTCTAGCCTCTCTAGCTTCTCTAACCTCTCTAGCCTCTCTAGCCTCTCTAGGTTCTCTAGGCTCTCTAGGCTCTCTAGCCTCTCTAGCCTCTCTAGCCTCTCTAGCCTCTCTCTAACTCTCTAACTTTCCGTGATACTCTTGAAATAATTCAATTTTTTTTCCAGAAAAAAATCTGGAGATGTATATCTCTCAAGTACCAGATGTCTTTTTCTCGTATACTTTTTTTTTTTCTCACAAAAAATTGTGACACCTGTGAATTTGCATATTTTTCACACTTATTTTTTTGACCCCCTCTGTCCCTTTAAAATTGATATTTTTTTCCTTCTGTGACCGGAAATTAGCATCATTTTTTCCCTTAACGCACTTTTTTCCCAGCCTTTTTTTTCTTTTTTTTTGTGCTCAAAAAGTAACCTAATCTTGTTTTTTTTTCTATCCAATCAATTTTGCTTTTTTCCTTTTTTTTTCTTTTTTTTTCTACAAAAAAAACTTGGAGGTTTTTTGAGTTCAATGCATTTTGGAGCATTTTTCGTGTTCGAGAAACATCACATTCATTTATTTATTCATAGATTCTACAAACTTCTATAGTAAAAAATGAAGAAAAAAAAATAAATATTGTGCTCTTTTTTGAGCCCCAGAATTTTTTTCCAAATTTTTTTACTATGTGCCATTTTATAGCTCCATAAAATTCTACAACTCCAAAAAAAATGACATAAATTCAAATACCCAAAAAGAAGTTAGCTTAATTCATCAAAGAGAATCTAGAAATGCGTCATGCCCCAAAAAAAAAACTACTTGTTTGCTTTGATTCATCAAAAACCTACATATAACTTTTTGTCGGCGACAAAAAATGGGAGTTTTGAATTTGAAAATTTTCTGAAGCCTTCTGAAGCCTCTTAAAGCTCTCTGAAGCCCTCTGAAGCCTTTTGAAGCCTTCTAAAGCCTTCTGAAGCCTTCTGAAGCCCTCTGAAGCCATCTAAAGCCCGCTGAAGCCCTCTGAAGTCCTCTGAAGCCCTCTGAAGCCTTCTGAAGCCTTCTAAAGCCCTTTGAAGCCTTCTGAAGCCTTTATTTTTCCCTTTTTTTTTTCTTTTTATTTTTTTTTTTTATTTCCCAAAAAAAAACTACAAAAAACATTTTTTTTTGAAAATAAATTGTTCTTGATGCTGAAAATTCTCACATTCACACATTTTCACCTTCAAAACATAAAAATATCTTCAAAAATCGAAATTCCCATACAAAAATATGTTTTTTATGCAAAAAACAAAAACCATTCCCTTTCCCCATCCAGAAACATGTTTCTATCTCTCTTTCTCTTCCACTCTCTCACTTCCCCCTTCTCTTTTTTTTGCAAATGTTGCAAACGCGCTCCAAAAAACACCTTCCTCCTCGTTCAACTTTTTATTTTTCCATGTGTTTGTGTGTGTGTTGCCTTTTTTCCTTTTTCCTTCTTCTTTTGTTCTTACTTATGATAACTCATGTTTTTTTTGTTTTGAATAGAAATTAATTAGGATAATTTTGATTTTGAATGAAATGTCGTGTTTGAATTTTGCTGAAAATTCAAAAAATTTAGTTTTTTTTTTCAATATTTTCTTGAGTTTAGGACAATTGATCTGATAATTTTGACTAGGAGGCTTCAGAAGGCTTCAGATGGCTTCTGGAGGCTCCCGGAGTCTTCAGAGGGCTTCAGAAGGCTTCAGGAGGCTTCAGGAGGCTTCAGAAGGCTTCGTATCTATTTTTGAAGATCTTTTTAACGTAACAAATTTTATCGATCGATAATTTTCTTCTCAAAAACCCCCAGTAATTTTTTTTTCCAGAAATCCCATGTCAAAATGAAAAAGATCACACCTCTCCTCCTCGCCTGTGCGATTTTCCTAATCGCCGCCAACCCGCCGCCTGTCTCAGTTTTCGGCCCGTGTCAACGTCGATGCGTCAAACAGTTTGGCGAGATTCAAAAACGTCACACCAACATCGACACCCAATTTTTGTACACGAATGTGTCGAATCGCACCGAATTCTCGTTGTGCAAATTGGGTTGTAGCAGTCCGGAATACACTGAACTTCATTTGCCCGCTTTTCGATTTGGACAAATTGCCTATGAGGAGATTTTGAATAGCATTTCACCCACAGGTAGGATTTTTTTAGGGTTCTTAAGAGTCTTTAGGTCTTTAAGGATCTTTAGGTCTTTTTTTAGGATCTTAAGAGTCTCCGGGTTTCTTAGGGATCTCTAGGTTTTTCTTTTAAAGATCTTTAAGAATCTCCAGGTTCTTTATAAGCTTTGGGATCTTAAGGATTTTCTTTGGGTTCTTAAGAGTCTTTGGGTATTTTTTTAGGTTCTTTAGGTCTTTCTTTGAAGAATCTTTAAGAGTCTTTAGGTCTTTAAGGATCTTTAGGTCTTAAGAAATTTGTAAAGTACAGATGTCTAATTTTTTTTATGTGATAGAAAAATTTTCTGATTTTTTTGGGGATTTTCTAAAGATTTTTTTGACTTGCTTTGATTGTGGATTGATTCAAACTAGAGTCTAGTTTGGTATTTTATTGAAAACAACTATAGTCTAGTTTAGTATTTTATTGAACACAAGTTAAAATAGGCTTTTCAGGCTCTCTGGGCTCTCTAAGGCTTCCCAAGGCTTTCCAAGGCTTCTCAAGGCTTCCAAAGGCTTCCCAAGGCTCTCTAGGTTCTCTAGGCTCTCTAACCTCTCTAGCTCTCTATTTTTTTCAAAAACCAAAAAAAAAAAAATTTGTCTTCATCCCCAAAAACAAGTTAGTCCTACAAGGTCTTTTTGTGTTTTGCGCGGTTTTCTGAAGAAGATTGATGATTTCTCAAAAATGCCGTGATTTATGAATTGGACAAAAACAGTATGCGGTGAAACACATTGAGAATTTATGACTGATATGGTTTTTAGGTAACAACCTATTGAAAATAGGGGGATTTTTAAAGAAAAAAAAAGAAGAGTACTGTAAATTTTGGCGCCAAAAAAAATAAATCTAAATTTTCAGCACTCATTCACTTGCCAAATCCAGTCAAAGATGTTCAAATTTTATGTCTCGACAAATCGCCGGCAAATCCGAATTCCTCCAAAAATTCGACACAACAAAAATTGACTGGAAATATTTTGCTGAAATTTGATGATGAACTGGAGGCGCTGGAAAATGTCTATTTTATTGAAGTTGTTGCAAGTGATGAGGAACAAACTATTTTGTTTCAAGATTGGGTGAGTTTCAGACATTTTTCAGAATATTTTAGAAGGTTCGGGAGGTTTCAGAAGGCTTCAGAAGGCTTCAGAAGCATCCAGAAGTCCTATGAAGCTTTCAGAAGCTTTCAGAAGCCTCCAGAAGCCTTCAGAAGCCTTCCGAAGTCCTATGAAGCCTCCAGAAGGCCTTGAAAGGTTTCAGAATCCTTCAGAAGCCTCCAGAAGCCTTCCAAAACGTTCTCGAACCTCCAGAAGTCTTCAGAAGGCGCCAGAAACCTTCAGAAACATTCTCAAACCTTCTGAAGCTTCCAGAAGCCTCTAGAAGCCTTCTGGAGTTTCCAGAAGCCTTCCAAAAAATGCTCAAACCTTCTGAAGCCTTCTAAAGCCTTCAGAAACCGTCAGAAACCTCTAGAAGCTTCCAGAAGGCTTTTGTAGCCTCCAGAAGTCTTCTGAAGCCTTCTGGAGCCCTCTGAAGCCTCCAGAATCCTTCAGAAGGCTTTAGAATCTTTCAGAAGCCTCCAGAAGCCTTAAGATTCTTAAGGTTCCTAAACTCCAGTACTTAATCAACTAATTAAATTTTCTCAAACCTAATTAATTAATTATTTTTGGTTTGCAAAACAATAGCAATCTGTTTTCCCAAAAATCAAGGTTGTTTTTGATAAATCTCTTTTTTTTTGGTGAGAAAAAATTTTTGACGTGAAAATTGAATTTTGATTTCTCAAGTGGTAGGTAACATATTTTGAGAGCGAAGTTAGCGGAAGACACTTGAAAAATTGTACGAAAAAATAATTTTTTTTTGGAAAAAAATTTTTCATCCAGAAAATCTGAACTTGGGGACTTCAAAATCGATATTTTCAGTGCTACTCAAGTCTTTGCAACATCTCATTTTTGGCTCCGGAAAATGCTCAAATTCGAGCCAGATTGTCGAGTTTTGATGAAAATGGTGCGATTGGTGGAATTGTGCACTCGAGTTGGTATCCGATTTCGGAAGAGCCCAATTTGGATATGAAAGTTGTGAGCTTGGTGAGTTTAACATGAGCAATACAGTAGACGGACTGCAAAGTCACAAATTTCCTTGAATTTCCTCAGCTACAGTAATCGAACTATAAATTCCTCAAGTAATATTATTTTCAAAATTAAGTTTAAAAAATGCTGGCTACAGTAATCGAACTACAAAAAAAACAAAAACAAATCTGAATCTTTTCTAGCTACAGTTACCGGACTGCAAATGTCTAGTTGCAAATTGTTTATAGAAATGCGCAGCAGCTTTTCAGATTTGTTTAAGATTTGTTTAAGTCTGCATTTTTCTAGCTACCGTAACCAGACTGCAAAAGATTAGGTAAAAATATAGATATTCGCAGCATCTTTTTTTAGTGGTACTGTATTTTTTCAAATTTTTTTAAAATTTTCACAGTACCGTAGTCAAACTACAAAAAAACAATTATCATTTGAGGCAGCTACAGTAACCAGACTGCAGAAGTCTAGTTGCAAATTGTTTATAGAAATGCGCAGCAGCTTTTCAGATTTGTTTAAGTTGTACAGTACTTACCGTAGTCGAACTGCAGAAAAACAGTGATATTTGGAGCAGTCTGAAGCTTCTTCAGATACAGTAACCAAGCTGCAAAAGTCTAGTTGCAAATTATTCATAGAAATTTGCAGCATTTTTTAGTGGTACTGTAGCTCTTCAAATTTTTTCGAGTTCTACAGTACTTACCGTAGTCGAACCGCAAAAAAACAGTCAACATTTGGGGCAGCTACAGTAACCAGACTGCAAAATACTTACAGTAACAGAACTGCAAAATTTCTACAGTAATCAAGCTGCATGAAAATACACAGATATGTCTAGATATAGTAACAGACGGATTCTTTTTTAGCTACGGTAACCAGACTGCAAAATACTTACAGTAACCGGACTGCAAAATTTATCTCTAGATTCTAAAATTGATTTATGTACTTCTAGAGTTCATAAAACAATTTGTTTCAAAATTGATGCTACAGTAACCAGACTGAAAAATTTCTACAGTAATCAAGCTGCAAAAAATTTAAATAAATTTTTTTTCCAAGTTCAAAAATCAAAAGCCAATTTTTTTTTCGTTCCAGGATTGGCTCGACGACAAAGCGGCAGCCAAAATTCAATTAATCCCCAAAAAATCAAATCTCAAAATGTTCGCTACAAATCGAATTCAAAAATGAGCTCACCGCCGACTTCAAAACCGCCCAATTTTCGATGGATCAAACACGACATGTGATACTCAAAAAATTGGAATTTGGGAAAAGATATGAGGCGCGATTTGGTGAAAATCAGGGGAAATTGACACGTTTTGATGTTCCACAATGTCGAGAAATGGTTGATGATATGACCATGTGTGGTAAGAAATTTGGGAAATTTTGGACCCAAAAATAGTCTTCCCAAGGCTTCCCAAGGCTTCCCAAGGCTTCCTAAGGCTTCCCAAGGCTTCCCCAGGCTTCCCAAGGCTTCCCAAGGCTTCCCAAGGCTTCCCGAGGCTTCCCAAGGCTTCCCAAGGCTTTTTTCTATGTATTTTTTTTCAACAATTTTTATCTGATCTCAAAAATCTTGAAACCAATTAATCTTATGCCAACATCAAATGAGGTTCTCCCCCTTTTTCTACTTTTTTTATGTGAGGAGTAAGTACTTGCTTTATTTCTGGTAGTTAGGGGAAATCTAGGAAATTGAATGAAAAAAAAAAGGAGAGGGGTCTTTTTTGAAAATAGACCACCCACGAAGTTTTTGGGGACCATCCAATTTGCAAAAAATATTTTGAAAAAGTATGATTTTTTTGGGGATTCTGAAATTTAGATGAAGATCATCTGGGTTTTTTGGACCACCCAAGAAGTTTTATGAAGACCACCCAAGATAAAAAGTGTTTCTGGGATCTAGATGAATGTTTTTAGACCACCCAAGAAGTTTTATGAAGACCACCCAAGGTGAAAAAAAGCCTTTATATCTTCTAGGATCAAGTTAACACTTTGGCATGTTTTTCGGACCACCCATGAAGTTTCTAGGGACCATCCAAGATGAAAAAAAAAATTTTGAAAAAATTTGATTTTTTTGGGATTCTGAAATCTAGATAAAGATCACCTGGGTTTTTTGGACCACCCAAGAAGTTTTATGAATACCACCCAAGATGAAAAAAGAATTTAAATCTTCTGGGATCAAATAACCATGTTTTTTAGACCACCCAAGAAGTTTTATACAAAACGCCCAACTTGAATTTAATTTTTTGAGACCACCCGGTTTTTTTTCTTCCAGAAGCGATCCAGAATCTAGAAATTATTTGGACCACCCAGGTTGTTTTTTGAAAAACTAATATGACAATTTAAACGGACCACCCAGAATTCAAAAATTCAGCTGAAAAATAAACTTTGCACCAAAAAAATCCCAAATTTTTCCAGCTCCGCCACCAGTTTCTGCTCTCCAAACCCATTGGAACGTCACCAATCCCAACGGCTATGCACTTATGATAACTTGGACCTACATGACAGATCAAGAGAATATTTCACTCACCGAAACCAACGCCAAACTCTCAATGTCTCACTTCAAACTCCAATTAAATCCCCTAATCACCCCAGACAATGAGAAATGCGAAAAATTGGAATCGATTCGTCGTGACGTCACTTGGACACATCGACAAGTCCAATTCTATGTTCCAGACGCTGAATGCAATTATGAGGCTGAAATTTCAGCCGTGGATTCGAAGCAGCGACAAAGTGAGAATAAGAAGATCAAAATCTCAAGGATTAATGAACCATCGACAATGAATTTGTTGTTTTTGCGATCCGATTTATCGATTAGTATCGGATTTATTGGCATTTTGATTGTGCTGATGTTGCTCGCATTTTTGCTGATGGTTTTTGTTGTTCAGAGAGGGAGGAAGACAGCGCCGAAAGTTGTTGAGGAATATGCACCGCCTGGTGATCGATTGGTTTATGCGTATGTTGGTGAGTTTTTCAGGGCTTTCTTGGGCTTTCTGAGGCTTTTTAAGGCTTCTGGAAACTTCTCAAGGCTTCTGAAGGCTTCTCAAGGCTTCTGAAAGGTGCCCAAGGCTTCCCAAGGCTTCCCAAGGCTTTCCAAGGCTTCCCAAGGCTTCCCTAGGCTTCAGAGGGCTTCCCAAAGCTTCCCAAGGCTTCTCAAGGCTTCCCAAGGCTTCCCAAGGCTTTGTAAGATCTACAAATTCCTCAGAGCCTACAGTAAGACATATTGTGATCTACAGTATCGATTTTCTAGATTCCGTGAAAATTTATCAGATAATTTTCAGTTCTAGAACATTTTCAAGGGTTTCAGATTCATTTAATCTGAAATTTTGGATTTTAAGCTGAATTTGGGCGTGATTCGATTACTGTAGAACCTGCAGATCTAACTATAGGGAGAATTTGGACAGATATCTAAGCTACAGTAATCAAACTGCAAAATCATACAGTAGTTTTTTTGTCAAAAACCTCTGAAATTATAATGGCCTACAGTACACAGATTTTTTTGATATAGAGTACGGTAGAAAAAAACCTGCAGATCTAACTCTGGGAAGAATTTGGCAGTTGGTAAATTTACAGTAGGATCTACAGTAAGAATTACTTCCCTAGTGAAAGAAGAGTTCAACAGAATGTTGAAAAACTACAGTAGTCAAACTGCAAAACCCCATAGTCAACATGTGTTTTTAACTATAAAATAGAGAGAGAGAGAGAGCTACAGTAAGCGGACTACAAAAATTTAGCTCACAATTTTTTGATGAATATTTTTCCTGTGAATCTATAGGTTTCTCGGGTTACTGTAATCGTCAGAATCTTAAATTTAACCGAAATTTCAGAGATTTTGAATCAATTTTCAGATTTTCAAGCTCCTCAAATAAAAATTTTCCAGATTCCAACGACTCTTCCAAAACAATCATCGGCGTCAGAAATTTATCAAATCGATCAGAACCTCCAAAATATGAGCCAACGGTGAGTTTCAAGCTCAACATCCCAAGGACCTGCTTAAAAAAAATCAATAATCTCAATTTCCAGACTCAAATCGATTCATATCTTCGAAACACTCTTCACATCTACCACAACAATGACGATGATTCATACGAAACAATTCCAGATTATCGAAATATCTCGATTTCTAGCGAGACTTCCAGTCAAGCTGAACCATATTATTCACCACCACAACATCGGATGGATCAAATCATCACGCCAGCCATCTCCAACATTGAGCAATATAATTTGATCAAATCTCGAGCGATTCAAGATTTTCAGCTGACCAAAATTTGTGTGCCTGAAGGCAATCCGGCGTGGCGAATGATTAATGTTTTGGATGTGATTGGTGGTGGAAGTTTTGCCATGAAATTTGCCAAGGATTCGAGTGAGTGAGGGTTACTGTAGTTTTTGTAGATCAGAAAATCTTTCGTTTCAGATTTTGGGCTACTGTAGATTCTTTTCCAGAAATTTGATTTTATAGATCAAATCTTCGTTTTAAAAATTGATAAACGTTTTTGGATTACTGTAATTTTGCTAGGGTACTGTAGAAGACCTCGGTTTTAACCTAACAAATTTTTGTATCAGATTTTGGGTTACTGTAGATTTGATGCTAAAAATTTTATCTACGAACTTCGTTTTGGGTTACTGTAGATGAACAACATTGGATTACTGTATTGATAAAGCATTACAGCAGGATTTTTTGTAGATCACAAAGCTTTGAGGTTACTGTAGATTTTTTTTCAAATCCAAGGATTACTGTAGATCAAATGTAGGTAATCAAATTTTTTTGTAAATCATGAAGCTCTGAGGTTACTGTAGATTTTCCATATCCAAGGATTACTGTAGATCAAATTTAGATGGTCAGTATTTCTGTAGATCACGAAGCTTTGAGGTCACTGTAGATAGTTTTCAAATTATGACAGTCCAAGGATTACTGTAGATCAAATTTAGATGGTTAAATTTTTTTGTAGATCACAAAGCTCTGAGGTTACTGTAGATTTTTTTTAAATTCTGAAAATCCAGGGATTACTGTAGATCTAATTTAGCTTGTTCAGTTTTTTTTGTAGATCACGAAGTTTTGAGGTTACTGTAAATTTTCAAAATCCAAGGATTACTGTAGATCAAATTTAGATGGTTTAGATTTTCTGTAGATCACAATGTTTTGAGGGTTACTGTAGATTTTCCAAATATGAGGATTACTGTAGATCAAATTTAGATAACTAACTTTTTTTGTAGATCACAAAGCTTTGAGGTTACTGTAGATTCATCTAGATTACTGTAGCTAGATTTTCTAGAGGCTAAACTATTTTTGTACAATGAGATTTGTTTGATCTGCAAGAAAAAATCCCTAGATTGGGGTACTGTAGATTTCACAAAAAAAATTTCTGGCAGCTGAAGATCTGAATTTGAAGAATTCCAGTAGCTCAGCTCCTGATATATTTTTCAAAAAATAAAAATAAAAAATTTTTGAGTTACTGTAAATCCAAAATAATTTTCAAAAAATCAATGAAGATCTATTATTTCAGCCCTGGAAACCCAGCAATCCATGAAAAAAGAAATCGAAATCCTCTCAAATCTACACTATCATCCAAATTTTGTTCGATTCGAAGGTTTGGTGACCAAAAGAATCGGTGGAATCGTAAACATCATTGGATTATTGATGGAAAATTGTCGTGGTGGAAGTCTCCGCCAATACATTCAATCAGTCGGTTCACAATTACGACGACAAGCAATGTCAACTCCAATGTCTGATTCGCCACCAAGTTCTGGATATGATAGTTTGAATCGGCATGAGAAATTGAGTTCGGAAATCTCTTCGGTGCAGATGACTACGGATAATTCGGTGGCTAATATGTCGTTGAGATTCTGCCAGTTTTCGGAGCAAATTGGAGCGGCGCTGGTGAGTTTTGGGGGGAGTTAGAGAGTTAGAAAGCATAGAGATTCTAGAGATCTAGAGATCTAGAAAAAAATGTCAGGATTTCTGAGCTACAGTAATTTTTGAAAAATTTGACCAAAATTACTGTAATTTTGAAGCTGAGAAGTCCTATCAATTTCAAGAAACAATTTGCAAGAATCCAATAAATTTTGAGATACTTTTCTTGAAAATTTTTTTTTCAAAAATGAATAATTTTGAGATACCGTAACTTCTAGAAAAATCGGAGCTAAGATTGGTCCTTCAAATCTTGAGATACAGTAACTTCTGTAGCAGTACGGTACAAAAATCAAATAAATTTTGAGATACCATAACTTCTGGTAAATTGAAGCAAAAATTAATTCTTATAAATATTTTCAAATAAAAATATTTAACTACAGTACTCCTCAGATTTGGCGCGAAATGTAGGAGATTTTGACGCACATTGAATTTATTCACTGAATTTAAAGAATTTCAGTAAATCTACACAAAGATCTAGTGAATTTTTAGATACAGTAACTCTCAAAAATTAACTCGATGAATTTTGAGTTACTGTAATTTCTGAAAAATTTTCTGAAAACATTCAAAATTCAAAAAAAAGGCTTCAGAGAGCTTCAGAAAGCTTGGGAGGACTTCAGAAAGCTTTAAAGGACTTAAGAGGGCCTCAAAAGGCTTCCGAAGGCTTCCTAGGGCATCAGAAGGCTTCCAAAGGCTTTAGATGGCTTCCGAAGGCCTTAGAAGGCTTTACGAGGCTTTAAAGGGCTTCAAAGGGCTTTAGAGGGCTTCAGAAGGCCTCAAAAGGCCCCAGAAGGCCTCAGAAGGCTTCCGAAGGCCTCAGAAGGCTTCCGAGGGCTTTAGAAGGCTTTACAGGGCTTTAGCAAGATTGTTCTCCAGAAATAAATCAATAAAATTTTTCCAGGAACATCTACATCGCTACGGAATCATCCACACTCGCGTCACAACAATCGCAATCTACCTGGTCAAAGATTTCATCAATCCACTAGATGTTCTATGCGATCAAACTGTGAAGTTAGGCGATTTCGGAATGTCGGCAAGTTCAGCCGACGAAGCTCACGTCGATCAAACTGTCATGCCGCCCGAAGTTTGTATTGGCAAAAAATACGAGGCGAAGGGTGATATTTGGCAATTCGGAACTTGCTTGGTCGAGATGTGCAGTCTTGGTGTTAGCTATCAAATGCAGAAGGAGATTCCGACGAGTGGAATTGAGGAATTGTGAGTTTTGCGATTTTTGAAGATTTTCTAGAATTCCTGAAAGTCTAGAAAGCCTAGAAGAAGATTCTTGATTCTTCAGAAGCCTAGAAGGTCAAAAAAGATTCTCCTGAACTTTTCTGAAAGTCGGCCTGAAAATATCTAGAAGGCCAGAAAGTCAAATAGATTCTCCTGAATTTTTCTGAAGCCCGGAAAGAATCTAGAAGGCCTGGAATATTTTTTTTTTATCTGGAAGCTTTTCTGAAAGCCTGAAAAGATCTAGAATAAGATCCTGGGGATTTTTCAGAAGCTTCTCAAGTAGATTCCTTTTCTGAAAGCCTCGAAAGATCTAGAAGGTCTAGAAGATTTAGATTGAGAGCCTGGAAAGATCTAGAAGACCTAGATAATTTTTCTGGAAGCCTAGAAGGATTTGGGGATTTTCCTGAATTTTCTGAAAGCCTAGAAGAACTTGGTGATTTTTCTGGATTTTTAGAAGCCCGGAAAAAATCTCGAATATTTTTAAAAAATTTTATAAAATTTTTGGAACCCTGAAATATCTCTGGGATTTTTTTCTTCATTTTTAGAAATCTCGAAAAATTCTGATTTTCAGATGATTTTAAAAAATTTCAGATTAAAAAAAAGTATTGATATAATTTTGATATTTTAGTCACAGTTAGCCTAAGATCTATTCAGAAATTTTGAAAATTCGAAAATTGGTTTCAATTGAGATTTCTAGACTTCGAAGTCTTCAGAAGGCTTTTCGAGGCTTCAGAGGGCTTCAGAAAATTTCAGAAGGCTTCAGAAAGCTTCGGAGGCCTTCAGAAGGCCTAAAAAAAGGCTTCTGAGGGGGCTTCAGAAAGCTTCAGAAGGCTTCAGAAGGCTTCCCAAGGCTTCAATGGGCTTCAGAAGGCTTCAGAAGGCTTCAAAAGGCTTCAGAAGGCTTCAAAGGCTCCCAGAACTCAGAAAAATTCAAAACCCCAATATTTTCCAGCGACAAACTGCCAGCCACCAAAGTCTTGCACGACGCCGCCAAAAAATGTCTGAACCTCCGAAATAGACCCTCGGCTTCGGATCTTCGAGCCGTCTTCCAAACCGACACCGCGCGCGATCTCCGAACTCTTGCAATTGCGAATCTCGAAAAACATAATCAATCTCTACTAGTCTGAAATCAATCAATAATTTATCGATTTTTTTTGTGTGTTTTGTCCAGTTTTTTTTCTGCCTACGAGTAATTAATTCTTTATTATTAATCAACATGTCCCACCCCAAAATTGTACATTTTCACCACTTTTTTCTTCTTCTAGTCCCCCGTTTACACATTTTTCGCAACAAAAGTTTTAATATGTTCCTTTAAAATACGGTTTTTATTATTGTCACGTCACAAATTTTTGTTTTCTTTTTTTGTCGAATTTTTTTTGTTATGTCGGGTTTTTTCTCTGATTTTTGCATTTTTTTTTGAATTATTTATGAACGATTATTTTTGTTAGAGAGTTAGAGAGTTAGAGAGCATAGAGAAGCTAGAGAAGCTAGAGAGCATAGAGAGACTAGAGAAGCTAGAGAGCCTAGAGGGGCTAGAGAGCATAGAGAGTTAGAGATACCAGAGAGGTATTTTTTCCTGATTTTTTTGGTCCCTGAAAAATTGATTTTCTTAAATTTGCTTTCAGAGATTCTCAGAAACTTTCAGAAATTTTTTTCACATCTAGAAAATTCCGATTTTCAGCGCTAAATATTTTTTTTTGAGACAAAATTTGAAAATGTATTTTTTTCAGAAGTTTTCAGAGATTTTTTTCGTATCCAGAGAGAGTTTTTCCTAATTTTTTTGGACAAAAATTTGAAAATCTAATTTTTTTTTCATTTTTTTCAGAAATTTTCAAAAATATTTTAATATCCATAGGAAATTTCGATTTTAGCGCGAAAAAAAAATTTGGAAAACAATTTTAAAATATTTTTTTTCATAAGTTTTCAGAGATTATTCAAGATTTCAAAATTATTAGGACAAAATCAGGCTGAAATTTTCTTGGCGCCTAAAATATTTTATAAAAAATCTGATTTTCCCGAAAATTATCAAAGAGTGTTCCAGATCCAAAAAAAATTTTTCTAAACTTTTTTTACCAGGAAAATATCCCAAGTTAACATTTTCAGCTTAAAAGCTAATTCAAAATTCTCTGAAATTCCTCTTCTCTTTTTTTTCTATTCAAAAAAGAGAAGAGCCAAATCGACTCTGCCTCGAGCAACAAAAAAAATTCAGAGAAAAGGGAGCAACATGCGAAGAGAAAAAAAAATCGATTTTTCCTCACTCTCTGTTTTTTTTTCGTTGGGCTGTCTTCATATTATTTATTTCTTTTTTTCTGCCGGTGTATTTGAAGATTGGATACATAAAAGTATCAGTTTACATTTATCCATGCCGCTTTTTTACGATTTGTTTAAAGTTGAGCAGTTTTTTGAACTATTTTATTTAAGAAATAGTGGGCTGGACCACCCAAGAAGAAATATTCTTTCAAATTTTTGTGGTTTCTTAAGGGACCATCCAAGTTTCTCAAACTTTTTGTTTAGAAAATCAATTTTGAAGCTCAATTTAATAAAATATCCTCCCAAGTTAGCCTAAGTTCTCTAGACCTCCCATATTTCTATTTTTTCGAATTTCCCCATAAAAATTCCATAACTTTATGACCCCATTCCACCACTCAAAACCTATAAAAATATAAATTGTTTTTTGGACCACCCACGAAGCTTTTCTGTCTAGACCACCCAAGAAGCTTTTCTCAATTTTTTCCAGTGTTGATGATAAGTGTGACAGTCGCAGCACATGGTCGAACAAAACGAGTTGTCGGCGGAAATCTTCGAGCCTACGGGAGTGGACGATTATCGATTTGTGATCTAGATCGTGAGAATGTTGTTGAAACTGACATCAAGAAGTGAGAATCTCAATTAATTTCAGCAAAAAATCAATATTTTCAGCTGGAAAATTGTCAGATTCGTCGCGAAGATTTTGGAAATACTCACAGCTTTTTTGAGATTCTGCTTGCCATTTTTATTTTCTTCCACACAATTTCGACCACATCGGGTTCCGAAACGACTTTTGCAATCGTTCAATCAGCCATCAGCTATAAATGTAGGTTTTGGGAGGGGCTAGAGAGGCTAGAGAGGCCTAGAGAGCCTAGAGAGGCTAGAGAGGTTAGAGAGGCTAGAGAGGTTAGAGAGGCTAGAGAGGTTAGAGATGCTAGAGAGCCTAGAGAGGCAAGAGAGCCTAGAGAGCCTAGAGAGGCTAGAGAGGCTAGAGAGGCTAGAGAGGCTAGAGAGGCTAGAGAGGCTAGAGAGCCTAGAGAGCCTAGAGAGCCTAGAGAGCCTAGAGAGTCTAGAGAGCCTAGAGAGAGTCTAGAGAGGCTAGAGAGGCTAGAGAGTCTAGAGAGCCTAGAAAGTCTAGAGAGGCTAGAGAGAGGCTAGAGAGGCTAGAGAGGAAATTCTGAAAATTTTAAAAACATTTCTGAAAAGAAATTCTGAAAATTTTAAAAACTTTTCTGAAAAAAAATTCTGAAAATTTTAAAAACTTTTCTGAAAATAAATTCTGAAAAAATTTTTAAAAACTTTTCTGAAAAGAAATTTCTGAAAATTTTAAAAACTTTTTTCAATTCTCAAAAGTTTTTGGGGATAAAAATTCAATTTTTTCTGAAATCGGTATTTTTCAAAAAAAATCTTTAGGAGCATTAAAAAAATTCAAAAATTTTTAAATTTATCAGGAAAAAATAAATATCAATCTTTAGAATCCTAACAAGCCTAATTTAAGCCTAAGAAGCCTATTAAGCCTAAATTTTTTATCGCCAAAGCAACTTTTAAAGAAGCCTAAGAAGCCTATGAAGCCTAGAAAGCCTAGGAAGTCTAACAAGCCTAACTCAAGCCTAAGAAGCCTAAGCCTAAGAAAAAAGAAGCCTAGAAAGTCTAAGAAACCTAAGAAGCCTAAGAAGCCTAAGCCTAAGAAAAAAGAAGCCTAAGAAGCCTATTAAGCCTAAAAATTCCTTTTCTAAAAACCCCTTAACCCTTTTTTCATCTTCAGAAATTGGACGACGATACACTTTTGCAAATCATATCATTCTTGGACGCCAAAACTGTTGTTCGATGCGAACGTGTTTGTCATCGCTGGAATACAATCGTCAATGATAACCTTGGAATTTTTCCAAAACTTCAGACCGATCAGGTTAGCAACCAACACAAAAAATATGGGAAGATTTGGTTAAAGTCACGTAGGTGACAAAGTTTATTTTGAAAATATCTGTAGGGGGTTTTTTGGGTTGGATGTTCTTTGAGATATAGAATATACAGTGGCGTGCATTAGTCATGCACACTCATGTTTTTTTGGTGTAGGAAAGGTGAAAATAGTCGGAATGAGGTGAGATTTGGCTAGAATAAGTAAATCGGTCCTAGAAATGATATTTTATCAAAATAATAATGATTTTGATATATTGCCACGTGGAAGTTCCATGACTTGCAAAATGATGAAAATCGTAATTTTCACATTTTTCACAAACCGAACTCAATTTCTTTTTTTGTTGAATATTTGTCAGTTTTTGAGTCAGACACAATATTTTAGCATATTTTAGTCAATTAGGTCCAACAACCAAGTATTTTGATGAAATATAAGATCTTCAGTAATCTCCTGAAATCTATGCCTTCACTGAAACTAGCCATCAATTTTGATCATGGCTGAAGGTATCAAAAATATGTGGTATGATTGATATTATGGATTCAAATGTTGTCAAACATCATCAAAAACAAGTTTGAAAAGTTTGTTATAAAATGGATTACACAATTTGAAACTCTAGTGAGGTCAATGGAAAATCTTGATTTTTTGGCTCTTGAAAAAATCGAAACTCATGATTTATTTTGCGTAAAAAGAAGTTTTTGACGAAGAATTTTTCGAGAATCTGATGAAACTAATTAAACTTCATCAAAATCAATCCTGATTAACTTTTCTACCCGTGAAAAATATCATTTTATTGAATGGTTTTCAACAAATTCTCTGAGATCTCGAAAATGAGAGGCCAAATTTGTCTGCATACTGGTTCGAGCATACATTTTTTCGTTACCCACTCAAATTGACTTGGATACGTCTAAAAAAACATTTTGACATCTTATTTCATAATTTCCATCGAGTTTCTATTCAAATTTATGAAAAAACAGAGTTTTTTCAACTTCTCGTTTTCATTCAGCCAAGCTGATTGAGAGTTATTGATCGAAATTCTCACCAAATTACGAGATGTGGTGGAAATCGTTGAGAATCCATGACACCACGGATTTAGGTAAACTGAAGAACCATTTTAAGAACATAAAACCCTACTTTGAAAAATTTTTCGATAATGTATGGATAAAAAATGAGAGAACTGTCAGACAAAAATTGTAACACTTTTAACATAACATGTACTGAAATGAAACCAAATGATCAGTATTCATATGAAGCTTTTCGAACTTGTTTTTGATGATGTTTGACAACATTTGAGTCCATAATATCAATCATACCACATATTTTTGATACCTTCAGCCATGATCAAAATCGATGGCGAGTTTCAGTGAAGGCATAGATTTCAGGAGATTACTGAAGATCTTATATTTCATCAAAATACTTGGTTGTTGGACCTAATTGACTAAAATATGCTAAAAATATTGTGTCTGACTCAAAAACTGACAAATATTCAACAAAAAAAGAAATTGGAGTTCGGTTTGTGAAAAATGTGAAAATTACGATTTTCATCATTTTGCAAGTCATGGAACTTCCACGTGGCAATATATCAAAATCATTATTATTTTGATAAAATATCATTTCTAGGACCGATTTACTTATTCTAGCCAAATCTCACCTCATTCCGACTATTTTCACCTTTCCTACACCAAAAAAACATGAGTGTGCATGACTAATGCACGCCACTGTAGTGTAATTTTTTTTTTTTTTTGAAAAATTTTCAAAAGGTCTTTAAAAGGTTTTTTAAGCGACTTGAAAAATTCTAGCGATTTGGAGTAATTGTTTTTTTTTCTGAAAATAAAAAAAAATCTGAAAATCTTATCTTAAGAAACCAAAAATTAAACTGATCAAAATTTTCTTCCGGAACAAAACAGGCTTCTAAAAAATCTGAAGTTTTCAATGTGAAATTTAACATCGCTGAAAAAAAAAATGAATTATGTGATTTTATGAGCTGAATTCAAAAATAAAAAAATTTTTTTTGGCTTTCAAAATTCAAAGAATCTGAAACTTTATGCAAAAAATTTAAATTTCTTCATTTTTGAAATATTTTTTTTGGAATTAACATTTCATAGAAAATTCATTACAGATTTCGAAAATTAAATTTCAACAAAAATAATTAAATTTCTTTCCGAACTGTGAATTTTTTTAAAATATGGAACTTTATGCAAAAATTTGATTTTCTTCATTTTTAAAAAGTCGAAGTAACATTTTATCGAAACTTCAGAACGAACATTCAGAATTCAGAATAAATTTTGAAAATTTCAAAAAAAAAAAATTAAATTCCAGTAAATTTTTGTTTGAAAAAAACGGGGTTTCAAATTTAAAGGAACAAACTGAAAATTGGTAAATTATTTGTCGAAAGTTAGACATGCAGGTTTTTCTACCGTACTCTCAGCATGTGTCTTTAGAGTTCTCGAAAAAGACAAGAGTTTATGCTCTCTAGGCTCTCTAGGCTCTCTAGGCTCTCTAGGCTCTCTAGCCTCTCTAGCCTCTCTAGCCTCTCTAGCTTCTCTATCCTCTCTAGACTCTCTCACACTCTCTCAAATTTTCCAGATCCGAGTTCTCTTCGATGAGGGCGAAGTTGTGATCTACCCACTCGACGAAAAACGTTTCCCCACCCGCTACCCCCATGCCCTCCCTCCAAGTTCTCGCCGTCCGTCTCCGACATCTCACAACTCAATCGCTCTTCGTGCGCGGCCTGATCCCCGTCGAATCCGGTCCAGTCCTCCGCCTTCTCAATTGTCTCTCCCTCCAGCCCCAACAAATCTACTTTATTTGGAGCAAATTCTCACCAGACAGCATATTTCTGCTCGAGGAGTTGATTCAACAAAAATTCGATGACTGTTTGTGATTTTGGACTTGAGGAATGTTCGCCGTCGCATTTGTTGACTGATCGATTGTTGGAACCGATTTCACATAGTGCGGTTTTTTGGGAGGGGTTTGGGAGGCTTCAGGGGGCTCCGGGGAACTTCAGAAGCCTCCAGAAAAAATTCAGAAGGCTTCTGAAAGCTTTAGAGATATTTGGAAAGCTTCGGAAGGCTTCAGAAATTTTTAGAAATCTTCTGAATGCTCCAGAAAGCTTCAGAAGGCTTTCGGAAACTTCAGAAGCCTCCAGACAGGTTCGGAAATTTTTCAGGAAGCTTCAGAAGCCTCCAGACAGCTTCGGAAAGCCTGACAGAGCTTCTCAAGGCTTCTCAAGGCTTCTCAAGGCTTCTCAAGGCTTCCCACGGCTTCCCAAGGCTTCTCAAGACTTCAGAAGCCTCCAGAAATATTCGGAAGGCTCCAGAAAGCTTCGGAGAGCTTCAGAAAGATTCTGAAGGATTCAGGAAGCTTCGGAGAGCTTCAGAAGGCTTCAGAAGGCTTCAGAAGCCTCTAGGGAAGCTTCGGGAAGCTTTTGGAAGCTTCAGAAAGATTCGGAAGACTTCAGAAGCGTCTAAAAAGCTTCGGAAAGCTTCAGAAAACTTCAGGAAACTTCAGCAGCATCTAGAAAGCTTCAGAAAGCTTCCAGAAGGCTTCAGAAGGCTTCCTAAGATTTCCTAAGGCTTCCCAAGGCTTCTCAAGGCTTCTCAAGGCTTCCCAAAACTTCTCAAGACTTCAGAAGGCTCCAGAATGCTCTAGAAAGCTTCAGGGATTTTCGATATATATTTTTTCAGATTTGACTTCACTTCGATTGTGGAATAATGGAAAAGGATCGCATTATGCGATTTCAGATGAGACAATTTTGGCACTGGCCAGGTGAGTACTGTACTTTCTAGATCTCTAGGCTCTCTAGGCTCTCTAGTCTCTCTAGGCTCTATAGGCTCTCTAGGCTCTCTAGGCTCTCTAGCTATAAAAATATTGATTTTTTTTGCAGAGGAATCATCAACGGAACAGCAGTCGAAACCATCGATCTAGCCACATGTGTGATATCAAATGAAGCAGTTGTGACCTTGATTGACGCATGGGTAAAACAACCGCCAACCGATCTTTCGATCTCATTCAACAATTGTGGACCTGTCGAAAAATCGGCCGTTTTACGTCAACTCGCTGAATACGGTATATTGTTTGAGGACGAGCAACGCATTCGAGTTAATGGTTTGACACTTACACTTTTTTGTTGAGGGAAAAATGATTTGGAAATGTATCTTTGGTGTACTGTACTTACTGTAACATAAATGTATTTATTGTGGAGAATTTTGGAAATTTAGAGTTTTGAAAAGCTTCTGGGAGCTTCAGAAGGCTCAGGAAGGCTTCAGAAAATTTTAGAAGATTTCAGAAGGCTTCTCAAGGTTTCAGAAAATTTCAGAAGGCTTCAAAGGGCTTCAGAAGGCTTCAGGGGATTTCAGAAGGCTTCAGAGGGTTTCAGAAAGCTTCACAAGGCTTCTCAAGGCTTCAGAAGGCTTCAGAAAGCTTCAGAAGGCTTTAGAAGGCCTGGAATATTTTTCCAGAATTTTTCAGAAGCTCAGAAAACCAAAAAAAAAATTTCTGAATTCACTGAAAGCCTAGAAGAACTTGGGGATTTTTCTGAATTTACTGAAATTTTTAGAAGCCCGGAAAAATCTCGGAAATTTTTGAAATTTTTTTTTCGAACTCTCTGAAATTTCTGGAAAAATTTTCTGAATTTTTCAAAAATCTGGGAAAAATATTCAGAAAATTTTAAAAAAATTTCAGGTTTTTCAAAATTTCTAGAATTTTGACTGTTCAGTAATATAGTTAGCCTAAGATCTATCCAGAAATTTTGAAAATTTGAGATTTCTAGACTTCAGAAGGTTTCAGAAGGCTTCAGAAGGCTTCAGAAGGCTTCAGAGAGCTTTAGAAGGCTTCAGGAGGCTTCAGAAGACTACAGAAGACTTCCCAAGGCTTCAGAAGGCTTTTAGAGGCTTCAGAAGGCTTTAGAGAGCTTCAGAAGGCTTCAGAAGGATTCAGAAGGTTTCAGAAGGCTTCAGAAGGCTTCAAAAGGCTCCAGAAGGCTTCAGAAGGCTTCCCAAGGCTTCTCAGACTACATACAATATATTTATTGATTAATTTATTTGGTGTAAAAAAAGAATACAAGTAAAAAAACTGGCAAAACTGTAATGGGACGATGCGCGAAGAAAAAAACGTCAAAAAACGTGTTTTGAAACATAAAAATACAATGCACGAAATGACGCAAAACGTCGCGAAACTCGAGTTTTTCGACATTGAAATGTCGCGAAACAAGCATGTTTTTTGTATCGTACTGAAACCACAGACACTGGAGATCGGATCTTACAATGTTTTTACTTGTTTATAACGGTTTTCACCACTATTTTCTCCGGAAACATGAGACGTGGCAAATGCATTTCACATATAATATTTTCATTTGACGAAGATTCCTTTTCAGAAGTTTTTATTGCCAATTTTCGTAAATTAATGTCCTTTTTCAACCCCTGATATGTTTTTTCTACAAAAACAATCTATATTTTTCCACATTTTGAGAAAAATAATACTTGTTTCGCGACATTTCAATGTCGAAAAACTCGAGTTTCGCGACGTTTTGCGTCATTTCGTGCATTGTATTTTTATGTTTCGAAACACGTTTTTTGACGTTTTTTTTCTTCGCGCATCGTCCCATAAAAATGTACATAACCGGTGAGAGTAAATAACCAGAAAAAAAAACACAAAAATTTTTTTACGATCTTGAAACAAGAGGCATATTATTGATGTTTGGTGGAGTGGGTGTTGGAACAGAAGTGACACCATTTTTGGCGCCACGATAATCCACCTTCTCACCATATTTACTGTAGAATGTGACTGTGCACTTGGTTTTTCGGCCGGTTCTCTCGTCAAACATGTTGCAAGTGTCGTAGGGTGGAATGTAGAGGTGAAGAGAGACTGCGCCGTTTGAGTGACTACGGTTTTCCATTCGGTGGAGACCGAGCTCGTCTGGAGAGAAATTTATTGATTTTTTAAAGGCTTTTTGGGCTTCTTCTTATTAGGTTTTAAGCTTCTTTAATTTCAGGCTTCTTTAATTTTAAGCCAAAAAACCTAGGCCTAATATAATTGGGAAAATCTGAAAATTCCAGGCAGAAGATCCAGGCTTATTGGTGATCGAAAATCTGAAGTTCAGGCTGAAAATCGAAGCCTAGTTAGAACTGAAAATCCAGGCCTATTTTAGGCTTATTAGAGATTCAAAATCCAAAGTTCAGGCTGGAAATCTGAGCCTAGTTAGATATAAAAATCCAGGCCTTTTCAGGCTCAAAAATCAAAATTTCAGATTGAAAATTCCAGGCTTATCCGGGATCAAAAATCTGAAGTTCAGGCTGGAAATCGAAGCCTAGTTAGAACTGAAAATCTGAGCCTATTTGGGCCTAGAACTACTACATCCAGGCTGAAAATCTAGGCCTTTTTAGGCTTAAAAATCAAAATTTTCTATTAAAAATTCTGGGCTTATCCGGGATCGAATATCCGAAATTCAGGCTGGAAATCTGAGCCTAGTTAGAACCGAAAATCTAGGCCTTTTCAGGCCAAAAAATCAAAATTTCAGATCCAAAGTTCAAGCTGAAAAATTTGTCTATTTAGAACTCAAAATCCAGGCCTATTTGGGCTCAAAAATCAAAATTTTGAATTAAATTTTTAGGCTTATTAGGAATCAAAAATCTGAAGTTCAGGCTGAAAATCGAAGCCTAGTTAGAACTGAAAATCTAGGCCTTTTCAGGCTCAGAACTAAGAATATTCAGGCTTCTTCAGACCCTAGAAAATCCAGTATTTTTAGACCAAAACTAGGCTTATTTGGGTTCAAAAAATCCAGTATTTTTAGACCAAAACTAGGCTTCTTCAGACTCTATGAAATCAAATATTTCTAGACCAGAATCTGGGCTTCTTCAGACCCTAGAAAATCCAGTATTTTCAGGTCCAAAAACTAGGCTTATTTGGTTTCAAAATGTCCGGAATTGTAGGTTTATTCAGGCCTGAAAACTTATATTTTCAAAGTTCCCCTAAACTCACCACTCATATACGAAACACCATTCTGCTCATAAGTAGTCGATTGCAAAACCCCCAAAGGTTCATCATCCCCCTTTGGCCAATCATATCTAGTTTCCGTCAAACATCCATCCAACATCTTAACAAAACAATGCGCATCTGTATGATCGTGAATACTGCTAGCCATACCAGGACCCCAACATAAAATCATCAGATTGTATTTGCCGTTTCCGATGTCAACCAAGTTTCGGGTATATCTGAAACCATGAGGCTTGATATCCAAAAATAACTAGAAAACAAAAAAAAAGTTTCGATCAGGATGAGATTCGAACTCACGCGGGGAAACCCCAATGGATTAGCAGTCCATCGCCTTAACCACTCGGCCACCTGATCGTGATGGAAATTGTGGAGAAAATTGTTTGTTTATTTTTGGTCAGCGCTGATTTTTTTTGAAGCAGTGGAATCATATTTTGAAAATTTTAATTAAAATTTCAGAATCAGATATCGGCTGAAACTTTTCGATCTACAGAATCTAGATATCATGAAAGATCGTGTAGAAATTGAAAAATATTTTTATCAAAAAATATTTTTTGTTTTCAGAATTTTTTAGGGTATCAGAAGCAGTTGGGTCAAATCTAGGAAATCAAGTTTTCAACTTTAAAAATCTGTGATTTTCAGAATCTCAAAATCAAATCAGGGCAATATTTTTATTAGAAATCAAGTTCAGAAGCCTTCTAAAGCCTTCTGAAGCCCTCACGAATTTTCAGAAGTTTCCAAAAGCCTTCTGAAGCTCTCACAAATCTTCTGAAGCCCAGTACAGCCTTCTGAAGCCTTCTAAAGTCTCCTGAAGCTCTCGCAAATGTTCAGAAGCCTTGTCAAGCCTTCAGAAGCCTTCTAAAGCCCTTTTCAGTCTCTAAAACCCTTCTGAAGCCCTCACAAATTTTCAGAAGCCTTTTGAAGCCCCCTAAAGCCTCCTTAGGCCTTCTGAATCCTTCTGAATTTTCCCCAAACTCACTTATGCTCATCAAATTTGGCAAATTGTTTCCAATCATTAAAATTCGACTTATAACTCTCTAAAACTCTTCTCACTTCTTCCACATTAATATGATCATCCTCAAAAATTTCACGAAGAGTTAGAATAAGTGTTTTCAGATCCATCATCTGAAAATGCAATTATTTTTTAAGAAAAGTTCGGTTTGTCTTGAGAAAAATCAAGAAATGAAAATGAATCAAGAAAATGGGTGGAGTTCGAAAAAAAATTGACCACGTGACTTTGGTCGAAAAAATTTTCAAAACAAAAAACTACAGTACTCCTAGATAGATGTTGTGTTAAGGCAAAAATGCTTGTTTATATATAGAAAAAGATAATAATGGGAAGAGGAATAAGTAACCAATAGGAGATTTGAACTGACATGAGAAGGGGTACTGTAGTGAGTGAGATTTTTGATAAGAGAAAATTGGGGAAATTTTGTTTATGATGAAAAATGATTAGGCTTTTTGGGCTGATTAGGCCTTTTCAGGGCTTTAAAAAATTTTGACATTAGAATTTCAGATTCTGAATTTCAGATTTCTCTTTAGATGCCTTGGGAAGGCTTAAGAAGCCTCGAGAAGCCTTGGGAAGCCTTGGGAAGCCTTGGGAAGCCTTGGGAAGCCTTGGGAAGCCTTGGGAAGCCTGGGGAAGCCTGGGGAAGCCTTGGGAAGCCTTGGGAAGCCTCGGGAAGCCTGGGGAAGCCTTGGGAAGCCTTGGGAAGCCTTAAGAAGCCTTGGAAAGCCTTGAGAAGCCTTTAGAAGCCTTGGAAAGCCTTGGGAAGCCTTGGGAAGCCTTGGAAGCCTTGGAAACCTTCTAAAGCCCTCTGAAGCCTTTGGAAGCCTTGGGAAGCCTTGAGAAGCCTGGGGAAGCCTTGGGAAGCCTTGGGAAGCCTGGGGAAGCCTGGGGAAGCCTTGGGAAGCCTTGGGAAGCCTTAAGAAGCCTTGGAAAGCCTTGAGAAGCCTTTAGAAGCCTTGGAAAGCCTTGGGAAGCCTTGGGAAGCCTTGGAAGCCTTGGAAACCTTCTAAAGCCCTCTGAAGCCTTTGGAAGCCTTGGGAAGCCTTGAGAAGCCTGGGGAAGCCTTGGGAAGCCTTCTGAAGCCTAAAAACCCACTGCAAAAAAATACCCAAACAAAATGATTCAACATTATTTGATCTCAATCTATCGTTGACAGACTTCTTCTCATTCGACAAATCAAATCAGAAATATCAAAAAAAAAAAAAAACGCAGGCGTGCGCGACAAAAAAATTTGATTGATCAATCAACACGTGTCTTCTTCTAACTAAATGACAACAAAAAAAAAAGAATGAAGAAGAGATGAAAAAACGTTTCGTCATTGTGATGTTGATATGATTTCATGGAAATTTTTTCGTGTCTACGTGACAAAATAAAGATCAGGTGATTTTGTTAGTGGGAGGGGTACTGTAATTTCTTTTTGGTTGTTGGGGGTCGAATTTATAGAATTTCAGAAGCCCGGGAGGTTTTCCAGAGATTTTTGAATTCTGGAAAACTTGGGTAAATTTTCTGAAATTTTTTTTTTAAATCGTAGCAACTTCCGGAAAGTCTGGGAGAATAATTCCTAGAATTCCAGAAGCTCAGGAGGTTTTCCAGAGATTTTCGAATTCCGGAAAAAATCTGGAAAAAAATTCAAGATCTTAGAATTGTTTTCTGAATTTTTAGAAGCTCTGAACCAAATCTTAAAATTCTAGGAATATAGAATCTGAATCTGTATCTTTATCTAGAAGATCTAGGATATTTTTCAGAAGCCCGGATCAAAATCTAGAAATCCTAAAAAGCCAGAAGTTTATTTCAGAAAGCGCAAAAAATCTGGAAAAAGTCCTAGAAGATTCTGATGAACTTTTGAAAATTTCAGAAGGTCTTGGAAAGTTTTTAGAAATTTTTCTAGACCCTGGGAAAGTTCATGTGATTTCAAAAAGTTCAAACGAATTTTTGAGGCTTTAGAATTTTTTTAAAAATAATTTTCAGAATCCCAGAAAATATTTCTGAATTTCTGGAAGCTCTAGAAATTCTTCAAAATCCAAAAAAAGTTTTTTTAGAAAATTTGGAAAATGATTGAAGATTTTTCAGAAGCCTTCAGAAAGCTTGCAGAATTTCTTGAATATTTTTTAGAATCCCAGAAAATTTTTCTGAAATTCTGGAAGCTCGTAAAAATATCTAGAAAATTGTTAAGAAAATCTGAAAAATTACAAAAGATTTTCAGAATTGTTCAAAAAATCCAGAAAACAATCTGGATTTTCTGATTCTGAAAAAAAATATTTTTAAGATGATGTGGAAAATTTTCGGTCTTAAATAGTCAGCAAAAGATTTTGATCTGCGAACGTAATATTTTTCTACAGAGAATTGGAAATATGCAGATTTGTTTTCAGATAAACAGTTTCCCTAAAAGATTGAACACAAAATTTCAGAAAAACGTGAAAAACTTGAAAATTCAATCAATCCTGATCTACAAATCGCTGAACTTCAACAACAAAAATCATATGATCGCAAAAAAATTCAATATCCAATTTTGAATTTCAACTTCAAAAAAGGAGATTATGATTATTTTATTTTCGAAAAATTGGTCATTTATTTTTGTTTTGAAAAAAAATGTGAAAATTTTTGTGTTAAAAATTTTTAGAAGCCCTCTGAAGCCCTTTGGAGTCCGATATAGCCCTTCGGAAGCCTTGGGAAGCCCTGAGAAGCTGTCTCAAGCCTTTGGAAGCCTTCTCAAGCCTTCTGAAGCCCTTTTAAGCCTTCTGAAGCCTTCTGAAGCCCTCTGAAGCCCTCCGAAGCCCCCCGAAGCCCCAGAATGGACCAAAAAAACAGCGTGCATTAATAAATTCATAAAAAGTTATTTATTATATTATAAATAGATATACAAATTTGGGAAAGAACAAGATGATTATAACCGGTTACAGAGAAAAAAACAAAAGATTCTTATCTCCTTCGTTTTTTTTTCGTCTTGCGTTGTGTTGTAGAAGAAGTTGTTCGTGGCAGAAAATTCGACGACGGAACTTTTTTTTTTGGAATCTGAAACGATAATCTCTACAGGGGGACATAATTTGGATGATGTGATTTTAATAAAATTATGTCCGTGGTGTTTGATCTATTGATTTTTTGGGAATATTTTTCTGAAGGTTGGGATTTCCAGAAGATTTCAGATGTTATTTATGACTGCTATATTTTCCAAAACTTTTTTTTTTCTGGTAGATCAAAAATATCTTGATTCTGAATCTCATTTTTGATTGTAGACCGATTAGAAGATCTGAAAACCTGGAACAATTTTCAGAAAGCTTTGGAGGTTTTCTGAATATTCTGAAGCATAGCTGGAACTTCAGAAGGTTCTAAAAAAATGCTGGAAAACTTTTTTGAATCTGTTTTTTTCCTCCCAGGTTTTTCTAATTTGTAGTTTGTTTTCAATGAAAAAAAAATACACCGTGATTGAGAAAAAAAATAAAAATAGTGTGCAAATGAGAGAGACGCAGAGAGATCTCTCTGGTTTTTTTTCAATTATTTTTAGAATTTTTTTTTTCAAATTTAAATCTAGAGAGCCTAGAGAGCCTAGAGACGCTAGAGAGCCTAGAGAGCCTAGAGAGCCTAGAGAGCCTAGAGAACCTAGAGAGGCTAGAGAGCCTAGAGAGCCTACAGTAATCTAGTGCTACAGTAATCAATCTAGGAAAACTGTTATTCACAATTCCTGTGATGAATGGGCATTTGTATCTGCTGAGTTCAGCCGTGGTGAAGAGCATCACCAAAACAGCCAATTTCAAGAGCATTTCTGAAAATTAGAGAGCCTAGAGAGCCTAGAGAGCCTAGAGAGCCTAGAGAGCCTAGAGAGCCTAGAGAGCCTAGAGAGCCTAGAGAGCCTAGAGAGCCTAGAGAGAGTTCAAAATCTACATCTACAAAATTTGCAAAAACTATCTCTTTCCCTTCCCCAATTTCCGCTAACTACTTCTATTTGTTCTTATCTCGTAATATAGTTTTTCGAGAGGATAACAAATATCCCCCAAAAAAAACCGAAGCGTCCGTTTTCCTCGCGAACTAAAAACTATCATGTGTTTGTCTCTGTGTGTTCAATCTTGTCTCAACATCCATCATAACTTCTTCAAACATCATTATTTCTACGCGCAAAAATGACCGATTTCGATATTGATCAATATGATATTACTGTAGATATTGAAGTTGAAGTTGAAGAAGAAGAAGATCAGGCTGAAAATCAAGAAGTTCAGGAAGATCCAGCTCAAGAAGCTCAAGAAGATCCAGCTGAAATTCCAGAAGATCATGCTGAATCTGAATCTCCCGAAGATATTGAAAAAGTTGAAGAGCCTGCAGTTTTGTCAGATTTTGATTGTAATTCTGTTGAGAATGCAGAAGAGACCACAGTGAGTTAGGGTTTTTAGGCTTCAGGGGGCTTTAGAGGGCTTTGGGAAGCTTCAGGGGGGCTTCAGGGAGCTTTCAGGGGCTTCAAAGGGCTTTAGAGGGCTTCGAAGGGCTTTAGAGGGCTCTAGAGGGCTTTAAAGGGCTTTCCAAGGCTTTCCAAGGCTTCCCAAGGCTTACCAAGGCTTCCCAAGGCTTCCCAAGGCTTCCCAAGGCTTCCCAAGGCTTCCCAATGCTTCCCAAAGCTTCCCAAGGCTTCCCAAGGCTTCAGAGGGCTTCCCAAGGTTTCACAAGGCTTCCCAAGGCTTCCCAAGGCTTCCCAAGGCTTCCCAAGGCTTCCCAAAGCTTCCCAAGGCTTCCCAAGGCTTCCCAAGGCTTCCCAAGGCTTCCCAAGGCTTCCCAAGGCTTCCCAAGGCTTCCCAAGGCTTTCCAAGGCTTTCCAAGGCTTCCAAGGGCTTCAGAGGGCTTCAGAGGTCTTCAGAGGTCTTCAGAGGGCTTCAGAGGGCTTCAGAGGGCTTCGGAGGGCTTTAGAGGGCTTCAGAGAGCTTCAATGGGCTTCCCAAGGCTTCCCAAGGCTTCCCAAGGGCTTCCCAAGGGTTCCCAACCAAAAAAATCAATAATTTTTCAGATAATACCAATCGAAATCTCAAATGACGTTGAAGAAACCGTCATCGAAGAAGTGAAAATCGAAAAAAAAGGAACAAAAATTAGAAAAGTCAAAAATCGAAAGCCAAAAGTTCCGAAACCAGAAGAAGAAGTAGAAAAATCTGTAGAAGAAACTGAAAAAGTAGAAGAAATTTTTAAAGAGCCCAAAAGAAAATTATCAAAAGACGGTGAATTGTTCAGTCGATGGTTGTTTTATCATCTTTATCATCATCGCAATTTGAACCCCTCAAAAATTGCATTGGTGAGTTTTTGAAGGTTTATTGCTCAGGTTAAGCTGCTGAAATTTTTGAATTGATCTTCTGAATTTTCAGCAAGCTTCTCCAGCTTCCCTGACTTCAAAAAACCCTCCAAAATCAATTTCCAGATCGAAGAAGTGTCCGAAGCACGATGTGTAACTTATCAGGAATTGGTAGACGGTGCAATTCGGACAGCAAATTATTTGCACCATCACGGAATTCGAAACGGGGATCGAATTTTGATGAGCATGGAGAATAGTGTGGAATATGTGTTTTATCAATTGGCTGCGTATATGCTTGGAGCTGTTCCGGTTCTTTTGAATCCGAGTTTGCTCTGTGAGTTTTGGGGGAGGTATTGGAGCTTTTTGAAGATTTCTGGGGTCTTCTGAAGGCATCTGAGGTCTTCTGTAGCCCTTTGAAGCCTTTTGAGGGCTTCTGAATCGCGCTGAAGCCTTTTGAAGCCTTCTGAAGCTCTCAGATGCCTTTTGAAGCTTCCTGGAGCTCTCAGATGCTCTCAGATGCCTTTTGAAGCCTTCTGAAAATTTATAAGGCTATCACTGTTTCAAAATTTCCTTTGAAAAAAGAGGACTTTCAAATTTCGATTGGAATCAAAAATAAAATCTTGAAATTTTGATGTCAAACCATTTTCTAGATGCATTGCTCATATTAGAAAAATTCTTGAAAACTTTGAAATTTTCAGATTTTTTTGTTAGAAAAAAATTAATCACTGTTTCAAAATTTTATTTTAAAAAAAGAGGGGACTTTGAAATTTTGATCAGAATCAAGTTCTTGTTTTAAAAAATTGAAAAATTGAATTTTTCAACGCATTGCTCATATTAGAAAAAGTTAAACAGTTCATTAAATTTTTGTATTTTCAAAATTCACTGTTTCAATATTTTCTTGCTGCGGGTTAGGCCTTCTAAAGCCTTCTGAAGCCCATTAGAGCTCTCTGAAACCCTCTGAAGCTTTCCGAAGCCTTCTGAAGCCTTCTGAAGACTTCTGAAGATTTCTGAAGCTCTCAAATGCCTTCTGAAGTCTTCTGAAACCCAATAGAGCCTTCTGAAGCTCCCAGAAGCCATCTGAAAAGTTCTGAGGTCTTCTGAAACCTTCTGAAGCTCTCTGGAATTCTCTGAAGCGTTCTGGAGGCTTCTGAAGCTCTCAAATCCCTTCTGAAGCCTTCTGAAGCCAAATTTTCAATCTAGACTTTTTAAGCTAGAATTCTGAAACTAGACTTTAGCTAAATTTAATTTTTTTTAATTCGAAAAAAATCTGAACATTTTAAAGGGAGTTTCAAAAAATTCTGAACTTCAGCACAAATTTTTTTCTTGAGAAAAATGAATCATCAATTTTTTTTTGAAAATCCGAAAAAATCTGAACATTTTTAAGCGATTTTCAGAAAATTCTGAACTTCAGCACAAAATTTCCTGACAATTTTTTTCTTGAGAAAAACTGAAATTTCCATTTTTCAAATAAAAATAACATGAGCAATTATTTCGGAGCCCATTAGAGCATTCTGAAATCCTCGAGCCTTTTCCAGCCTCTGAAAAATTCGAATCAATCGATTGTATCGCGGCAGTAGTAGATCTAGAAAACTACGGTCACATGCTTCGAGCCACCAAATCACAAATCAATAATATTCAACACCTTTTTATTCTTGCCGAGGAACTATCCGCCATTTATTTACCACCACATTTATGGATTTATGATGGATTTGGTTTCCTAGACTTCCCAAACACCTTTCAAAGATGTATGCCAATGAAAGATGGTGACGTCACAATATTCTCAAGTAGCGACACAACTTCCGCTAAATCTCAATTCATTGCGCATACTTCGAAATCTAGTCAGATTCTTGTATTGAATTATTATGAAAAACTTTTTGATCTAGTTGGTGAGGATTCTGAAAATACTCATCATCTGATTACAAATGGATTACACTGTCATGATTGTTGGGCGTATTTGTATTTTGTTTTGGCCAAAGGTGAGACTTGTGTACTTGCTGAATCGACTGTGGATGTTTGGAGAGCATCGTTTTTGGATAGGATTGCTGGGCTTATTGAGCAATATCATGTGGGTTTTGGGGGCATTTTTCATCGTGGGTGGTCTTTTACGATCCAACTTTGTTAGAAACTCATTTTGTGATTATTTTCTATAGTTTCTATAGGCTTTTTTCTACTTCGTGGGTGGTCTCCACATTTTTTTAGATTAGAGTCAACTTCGTGGGTGGTCTTTTACGATCCAAATTTGTTAGAAACTTATTTTGTGAAAAAGTTTCTAAATATTCTATGTGTGTTTTACTTCGTGGGTGGTCTCCACATTTTTTTAGATTAGAGTCAACTTCGTGGGTGGTCTTTTACGATCCAGATTTATTAAAAACTCATTTTGTGAAAAAGTTTCTAATAATATGTGTTTTTTTACTTCGTGGGTGGTCTTCACTTTTTTTTAGATTATAGTCAACTTCGTGGGTGGTCTTTTTTAACCTAATTATTTTGATCAGCTTCAGAAAAGTTCAGAAGTTAGCCCATCTCAAAATCAATTTTTGTGCTCATTTTCCAGGAGTACTGTATTTCAAATGGTCCAATTTTTCAGCTCAAAAAATATTTTTCCATTTTTTTTTTGTAGAAAAAGTTCTATGAAGAGATAAACTCTGAAAATATCTAGAAATACCCACAAAAAATTCCAGAAGTTTTCAAACTAAAAAAATATCCAAAAAAAATTCCAGAACGTTTCCAAACTAAAAAAATATCCAAAAAAAATTCCAGAAGTTTCCAAACTAAAAAAATATCCAAAAAAATTCCAGAAGTTTCCAAACTAAAAAAATATCCAAAAAAATTCCAGAAATTTTCAAACTAAAAAAATATCCAAAAAAAAATTCCAGAAATTTTCAAACTAAAAAAATATCCAAAAAAAATTCCAGAAGTTTTCGAGCTAAAAAAATATCCAAAAAAAAATTCCAGAAGTTTCCAAACTAAAAAAAATATCCCACAAAAAATTCTAGAAATTTCCCAACATTTTTCCTTTTTCCAGATCCCTCTAATAATCTCAAATGCTCAACTTCTCAAATGTTTCATCAAATACGAAGTGCACAATATTTACGATTTAAGTTCATTGAAAATTATCGCCAACACTGGTTCGACAATCTCCTCAACAATTGCGAAAAAAGTGAAAGAGATGCTCAAAGTTACCATAACTCAGGGTATGTTTGGGGACTCTTGGAAACTTTTTGAAAAACCTTTCCTTTCAGCATATAGTGCCGCTGAATTCGGGATTGTTGGATTCGAAATTTTCAGCGAAGAAGATCAAGATCATCTTCTCAGCTGTGGAAAACCGTTCCCAGAAATGAAAATCAAGGTGGTTGGTATCACCTTAAAAAATTTTAAAATCTCTAAAAAAATCAATAATCCTTCAGATCGCATCAATAGAAACTGAAAAAGAAGTGGAAACTGGAAAATGGGGATCAATAATGTTAAATGGTCCCAATCTTTTCCGCGGTTACTGTAGCGGTTCCGAAGAGACCAACAATATTAAAGGGTGGTTTAAAAGTGGTGACTACGGTATGATTGATGAGAAGAATCGTGTTCATATTGGTGGAGCTGTTGGTGAATTATTGCATGTGAAAAATCAAAAATTGTCGGCGGAATTGTTGGAAAGTGTCGTTTGTGAACATCAATTGGTGGAAGATTGTGTAGTTATGACAAATGGGCATGAATTGTGGTGTGGATTATTGTTGAAGGATGAAAATGAGGCACCGAATACTAGTCAACTTGATAAACTTTTTAAGAGTGAGTTTATTTCAGGCTTCTAAGGCTTTCCAAGGCTTCTCAGGCTTCTTTTTAGGCTTCTAAGGCTTCTCGGGCTTCTTTTTAAGCTTCTCAGGCTTCTCAAGCTTCTTAAGCTTACAATCCTAGTCCAGAGCTGAAAAAAAATTTTAATTTAAAGGGACATGTTGAGTACTGTAGAGATAACCTGTAGATCTAACAAAAATCTAGAATTTTTCAAAAAAAATTTTTAAATTTTTGTTAAAAAAAAATTTTATTAGGCTTCCCAGAGCTTCCCAAGGCTTTCCAAGGCTTCCCAAGGCTTCCGAAGGCTTCCCAAGGCTTCAGAAGGCTTCAGAAAGCTTCAGAAGGCCACAGAAGGCTTCAGAAAAATTTTCTGATCCAGAAGGCCCGGAATATTTTCCCGAAATATTCAAAAGCTCAGAAAACCAAATAAATTTTTCTGGATTTTTAGAAGCCCGGAAAAAATCTCGTAGATTTTTGAAAATTTTTGGATCTCTCTGAAATTTCTGGAAAATTTTCTCTGCATTTTTAGAAATCTCGAAAAAATTCTGATTTTCAGGAAAATTTTAGAATTTTCCTAGAATTTTGACTGTTCAGTAATATAGTTAGCCTAAGATTTATCCAGAAATTTTGAAAATTTGAAAAGTGGTTTCAATTGAGATTTCTAGACTTCAGGAGGCTTCAGAGAGCTTCAGAAGGCTTCCCAAGGCTTCCCAAGGCTTTCCAAGGCTTCCCAAGGCTTTCCAAGGCTTCCCAAGGCTTCCCAAGGCTTCCCAAGGCTTCCCAAGGCTTCCCAAGGCTTCCCAAGGCTTCCCAAGGCTTCCCAAGGCTTCCCAAGGCTTCCCAAAGCTTCTCAAGGCTTCCCAAGGCTTCCCAAGACTTCCCAAGGCTTCCCAAGGCTTCCCAAGGCTTCTCAAGGCTTCTCAAGGCTTCCCAAGGCTTCCCAAGGCTTTCCAAGGCTTCCCAAGGCTTCCCAAGGCTTCCCAAGGCTTCCCAAGGCTTTCCAAGGCTTCCCAAGGCTTCCCAAGGCTTCCCAAGGCTTCCCAAGGCTTCCCAAGGCTTCCCAAGGCTTCCCAAGGCTTCCCAAGGCTTCCCAAGGCTTCCCAAGGCTTTTTTTTTCAGAAAACGACATCAACGCCAACGTCAGCAAAATCATAATCCTCGACTTCATCCCAAGATCAGAAAATGGAAAAATTTTACGAAATGAGATTCCTTACATCATGAATGCTGAACAAGATGAAGCAATTTTAGTGGATGATACAGAAAGTTATATTTGAAAATTTTGAAATTTTTGAAAAAAATTAAAGATTTTTTATAAAACTTTATTCAAATTGAAAAAACAGCATTCAGCATCAAAACTCATTCAAAAAAAATAATTTTTTTTTTCGGGGGAATCATGAATTTTGAAATTGAAAATTAAACTGAAAAATTTGAATAACTAAAAAACTACGCAGGACAAAAAAAGGTATCAATTTTTGAGTGTCAAATTTTTGGCCACAGCCATCAGATTTTCACTGGGATTTGGTCCGTGTTGATGGTATCTGTGTTGATCTTCCTGGATTTGATACGGGTGGTTGAACCAATCTCGTTTGACATAAGTTGTATCATATTTTGCCTGGCAAGATATTGAGAGTCCGAATTGACAATACGGTGCCAATGTTTCAATCAATGCGCTGCCAGTGTTCAGAATCTGGTGTTCGAGTTCAAGGTGAGCGGCTCCAGAGTGGCACTAAAAAAATTTATCTTAAAATTAGGGCTCCCAGAGGCTCCCAGAGGCTTCTTAGGCCCCCAACTCACTTTATTTTCTTCCAAGACCTCTTCAGATTTTCCAGCACCATAAACTCCACTATAATTCGCAATTTCCGAACGATTTCCAATAACTTCTTCACAATAATAAACAAATCTTTCAACAAAATCCCGTGATTCTCCAATACTCGCCTTATTCTCCACATAACCCATCATCGATCTCAACAAATCTTCCAAATCCAATTTGTTTGCGAGCTCTGGTGTCTCCATGGTTTCTCTGATGATTTGTCGAATGTCGATCATTGTGTTTCGCTGGAATCACTTGGGAGATTTTGAAAAATAAATTTTCAACTTACTTTTGCGAGACGGGTATTTATAAGATCCGGAGAGTAGCTTTGAAGTTTCAGGCAGATTTGAAAGGCTTTTTGAATCTGAAGTTCCGATTTCAAAAACTTTTTCAGTTACAGTTACAGTAACTTACCAAATAAAAATTCTTATTGGAAGAGACATCGATGTTGTAAATCGCCCATTCATATGCACCTCTGATGTAACCATTCTCCAGAAGTTTTCGGAACTGAAAAAAAAATCCTCTGGTCATTTTTTTATGGTCCCGCTTCCGATGGTCCCATAAAACTCACAACATCTTGTTTTTCTTTGGTGTGAAGAAATACCATAGCACTTCCAGTACACGTTTTTTTCAGAAGCTTCGAATGTTTGTGAAGATGATATGTGTCTTCATAATACAAGTTTCTGATTCGTTCTGAGAGCAAATCGAGGAGTTCGTGCCATTTTTCATTTTTGTACAATTCAGTCAAATTGTCGATCTGGAAATTTACTTTTTTTTGTGGCTTGATTCTCGAAGTTACCTGATCTCTAGCCAACCATTCAAAAAATTCAAGGAATTTGAAAATTCGTCGCCACCATGGAGCCATCTTGCAGAATTCGATTGTCTAAAAATTTTCTCGTTTCGAAGTTTGCTCAAGATAAACTCACTGAAGTTGTTGTGGAATCTCCAGAATTTTCCAAAAGTTTTCCGATAATATTTTTATATTCATCTCCGAAATCTTCGAATTTTTTGCCTTGGAAAAATCCTTGTTGATCCTGGCTTTGAATGAAATTTTTGACAATTGAAGTTTCATGAGACGACAAATTTGAGGTGAGAAAATCAGTGCAACAGTTGATTAAAGCTGGGAGGTTTGCGTTCTGAAATTTGGAAATTTTAGGCTTCAGAAGGCTTCAGAAGCTTCAGAAAAATTCAGAAGGCTTTCAGAAACCTTCAGAAGGTTTCTGAAGCCTTCTGAAGGTTTCTGAAGCCTTCTGAAGGTTTCTGAAGCCTTCTGAAGGCTTCAGAAGGCTTTGAAAGAGTTCAGAAATCTTCAGAAGGCTTCAGAAGGCTTCAGAAGGCTTCAGAAGGCTTCAGAAAAATTCATAAGGCTTTAGAAAACTTCAAAAGGCTTCAGAAAGCTTCAGAAGGTTTCAGAAAGCTTCAGAAACCTTTAGAAGGCTTCAGAAGGCTTCAGAAGGCTTCATAGGCTTCAAAAGGCATCTGAGAGCTTCAGAAGGCTATGGAAGAGTTCAGAAGTCTTCAGAAGGCTTCTTAGGCTAACTCACATTGTTGTCAACAATTTTCAATAATTGTTTTTTATAATTGGGTGCCTCAGTATCGATAAAATCCGATCCAAATATTCCTTCCTCCTTCAAATCATTCAAAAATTCAACATTTTGATTAAGAGAATAAGCCGAAGCAACTATTCCGAAGACGAGAACTATCCAAGTTTTCATCTGGAAAAAAATTGAAAAAAAAATATTTTTATCAACTTTTTTTAATCAAGAAAAATTCGAAGATGTTTACAAGTTCACAAAATTTTTCAATCAAAAAATTATACTTTTTCAAGTTTCTGAAAATCTGAAATAATTGAAAAAATTTGAATTTCAAAATTTGACACAAAACCCTTTACAGAATCTCAAAAAACTGTGAGATTCAGAAAAAAAAAGAGAAAATCCAAGATTAGAAAAGCACTTAAATATCATCAAAATCTCTGCCATTTTCAGAAATAGAATAATCCGGATGAGATTACAGTAGTTCTCCAGATCCAGATTAACATTTTCAGACTTTGCCTAAGTGCTTTTCCCACTAATCTGGAATTACAGATTTCTTTTTTCTGAAAATAAATTCTGATGACTAAGATACATAAGATTGCTAAATATAGACCAAAAATACTCCGTCAATTTTGAATTTCAAAATTTTATTTTTTTCAAATATTTCAGATTGAGAGAGGCTGAAAAATCGAAAAATTGTTGGTTAGAGAATCGATTGAACTATTGAAAAAACTCCCGAAGCTTCTTGAGGATTCTCAAATTTCCCCAGGGCTCTCCAGGGCTACCCAGGGCTCCCCAAGGCTCCCCAAGGCTTCCCAGGGCTTCTCAAGGCTTCCCAAGGCTTCCCAAGGCTTCCCAAGGCTTCCCAAGGCTTCCCAAGGCTTCCCAAGGCTTCCCAAGGCTTCCCAAGGCTTCCCAAGGCTTTCCAAGGCTTTTTTACCCAAGCAAAAAATATCAGAATGAACTTTTTTATCAACAAAAAATAAAATGCAACATAGATTTTTTTGTTAGTTTCTTATCACAGAAAAAAAAAGAACTGGCGTCCTTTTCTGCCTGTTTCCATGGAAATTTCAGCCAAACATCTTCTGAAATATTGATCGCAAAAATTGTATTAGGATAAAATGCACACTTCCTCGAGATTTCAAAATTTGAAAACCCCAAGTTCATAGGATTCGCTAGCGGCTCAAAATAATTCATAATCTGAGCAATACTTTTTTCAGGCTTCCCAATGCTTCCCAAGGCTTCCCAAGGCTTCACAAGGCTTCCCAAGGCTTTCCAAGGCTTCCCAAGGCTTCCCAAGGCTTCCCAAGGCTTCCCAAGGCGTCCCAAGGCTTCCCAAGGCTTCCCAAGGCTTCCCAAGGCTTCCCAAGGCTTCCCGAGGCTTCCCAAAGCTTCCCATGGCTCAAATTTTTCTGTTGAATTCCTCTTTTCCAAAAAATTAATGTTTTTTCTGATAAAAAACGTACAAGACATTGGAAAAATGCAATGTTGCAATTTTTCTTGATAAACATTTTTATTTATGAACGTGGCAGAAAAATGGGGCGATTTTTTGAAAGTTTTGGAACGAAAATCAAAAGCTACAGTACTCCAGCTACAGTAATCTTGGTAAAAATAATAAATATTGTTAGTTTCAATCTTCAAATAAAATCTAATATGTACAGTACATCTTGCAGTTTTTGAGTTTTGGAAAAATTTTGAAATTTTCAGCATTGTGAACTTAATTTCAGAATTCAGATTTCAACTATGAAGCTCCAAAAATCCTGCTATTTTTTCTTCTGAATCATTTTCAGCATATTCAAAAAATAGCTGAAAATTAATTTTCTCAAAAAAATCTGAAGACTCACAGGGACAAAACGAGAGAGAGAGAGAGAGACTGTTGAGAAATGAGAGACATGCCAGACACACAGAGGAAATGTGCAGGTGTTATGTATATGCATATAATCTTTTTTCTAAAAAGGTGTTTCTCATCTGCCTCTCACTTCTCAACACTCTCTCGTTTTGTCCCTGTGCCTTGCTAATATGGCAAATTTTTCTTCGTTTTCGATTTTTTTTTGATTATTTTTTTCTCTGAGAATTTTTGTGACAATTGTTTTCAAAAATCTCTTCCATAATCATATTATCCATAAAAAATCAATAAATCTTCCCGACCGATAATAAACACTTCCCAAAAACTTCCCAAAAACACTATCTAATTATCTCTAGTCTCTCTCAGTTCTCTATACTATTTTTATTTTTTGTTGATGTTGGTCACACCCAACCAACGCCAAAAATTGTATATTTTTTTTGTATTCATAACTTTTTTTTCCAAAGATATAAGATGCATATAAAAATGGATGACGAAGCTTCGAGTTCAACTTCACAATTTGGATTTTTCGATCGATTTCCGGAGATTTTGATATCGAAAATTTTTGATTATGTGAGTTTTATTGGGGAATTTTTTGAAACCTCCTGAAACTTTTAAAAGTTCTCCTGGAGCTTCTGAAGCCTTCTGAAGTCTTCTGATGTTGTCTGAAGTTTCCAGAACCTTCTGAAGCCTTCCGAAGTCCTCTGATGCTTTCAGAAGCCACCTGAAACTTTTTCAAAATTTCTAGCGAAAAATTCATGATTTTGAAACTAGGAAAAAATATTTTCAATCAATTTTTCTTAAGAATTCAATTTTTTCATATAACTTTTTTTTTTTGAAAAACTAAAATTTAGAAAATTTCAAAAAGTTTAGAATTTTATCTGATTTTAAAAAATGAGGCGAAATTTAGAGGCTAGAATTTTTTTTTCATATTTTTCCTATATCAAAAAAATTTAAAGCTCTCCTGAATCCAGAATCCCCACAAAAATTTCAAAATCTCCCAAAAATAATTCTAATTTTTTCCAGCTCGACGACTCAGATGCTTATAATTTCTCGGAAACCTGTCACAAAATCAAAAAACAATTTCTGGCCATTCAAAAATCCAAGAAAACCATGATTTCTTATGGAACTTGGCGATTGGAAGTTGAAAATCAGAATCAAATTCAGAATGCGAACCCAAATCCGAATTATAATCATTTCCAATTCTTGGATTATTGTCAAACTTTTTGGCTCGTTGAGGTTTTCAGCAATGTGAGTTGTACATAAGCTACAGTACTTTGAAGGACAAAAAATCAATAATTTTTTTTCAGCTAGACCCCCAGGATGCTCAAAATTTCGCCATGACTTGTCGTAACATCAGAACACATCATATCCGATTTCAAAGAGAAAATCCAATTTTCATGACAATCGATGGCGAAAATCTTGGCATTCCGATTTTTGAATGAAAAAAACAGCATGTTCCTTTAAATTATTTTTTTTTGTTTTTGGAGACCGTGTATAAAAAATACTTACATATCATGTTCCTTTAAAATTGTTTTTGGAAAATAAATATTTTGAGACTAGTCATGATTTTCAAAGGCTAGAGAGGTTAGAGAGCCTAGAGAGCCTAGAGAGCCTAGAGAGTCTAGAGAGGCTAGAGAGCCAAGAGAATATTTTTCCGGTGCAAAAGAAAAGTTCACGGCAGTTGGAAAATAGTGTTTTAATCAGCTTTGATTTTTTCCACTGATAACAAATAAAAATTTTTGATTTATTATTATATAATAATTTTTCGGCTGGTCATTTGAAATATTACTATTATTAAAATTCGAAGTTTCAAGGATGAAGGTGGATTTTTTGAAAATTGCAGTCATTCTGATCTATGCACTTGGAATTACTGTAACTGCAATTGCACTTTTTACGAATTGTAAGATTTTTTTATTTTTTCAGGGTTTCGAGAAATTTCTAGAAAATTTTTTTGTTTTTCAAGGACAGTTTCAGATCTGAAAAATTCTGAACCTGGAAAATTCAGAAGTACAAAAAAACAATTTTTTTTTCTAATCATCAATCATCAAAATTTTCCGGTTTGATAGTAGTTTTTGCGATTTTTGTTTTTTCGAAAAAAAAGTTTTGAAAATTTTTTTGAATTCTGAATCGAAAAAAATTATTTTTCTGGAAATTTCAATTTGAAGAAGTTTCACCTTTTAAAATTTAACAGACGATTTTCAGACTGAAAAAAAAGTTTCAGATGAATTCAGTTTTGGAATTCTAAATTTTCAGATATTTTCAAGGTCTTCTAGAGCCTTCTGGAGGTTTCGAAAGCCTTTGGAAGCCTTCTGGAGCCTTCTGAAGCCTTCTGAAGCCCCATGAAGCCTTCTGAAGCCTTCGGAAGCCTCCAGAAGCCATCTGAAGCCCTCTGAAGCCTTCACAAGTCTTCTGAAGCCTTCGGAAGCCTTCTGAAGCCTTCGGAAGCCTTCTGAAGCCTTCTGAAGCCCCTTGAAGCCCCTTTTTTCAGACTGGATCCTAGTATCAGTTCCATTTTTGGGAATCAATTTCCACCGCGGACTTCTCCAATGGGTTTGCATCCAAAAATTCAACTATAACTGCTTCACAAAATTCCCGGTAACCTGAATTTTTTGAATTCAAAAAAAAAAATATTTTCAGTTTTTCCCCGGCTGGCTAAAATCAGTATTCTTATGCATGTGTGTTTCACTAGGACTTCAGATTGTGATTTCTGTGGCGTCGGTTTTTACGTTGTATGTTAAAGTTATCAGAACTTCTGACTCCTTAAAGATTCCAAAAAATCAATATTTTCAGCTTCATCAAATCGAAAAATGCCAAACTTAGGCTAACTATTGTTTGCGCCTTCATTTCATTTGCCAGTTTTGTGCTACTTTCTGTTGCGATTGGAATTTTTGCTGGAAAATCGAATGTTTATTATTTTGGTAAGGGAAGGTTTTTTTTTCAAAAAAAATTCCTAAGTTACCGTGCATATTTTTCAATGATAGAAAATTCATCAAAAACTGAAAAAAAATTTTCAATAAATCAAATTTCCGTGCATAATTTTAATTGATTAAAAATAATTTTGAATGCTGAAATTTTCAGCCTGAAATTGAATTTGAAGATTTTCTGGAATTCCTTCTTAGCAATGAAAAATCTTTAGATCATTTTTTAATCAATTTCACAACCAACTTCAAAATTTCTAGATCTTCTGAAACTGATTCCAGCCCAAATTTTGAAAAAATCATTCTGAGAAATTTGAAGAGCCTTTTGAAGCCTTCTGAAGTTTTCTGAAGATTTCTGAATTCTTGTGAAATCTTCAAGAGCCGTCTGAATCCTCCGAAAGCCTTCTGAAGCTCTCTGAATCTTTCTGAAACCTTGTGAAACCTTGATGGGCCTTCTAAAGCCTTCTGAAGCCCTCTGAAGCCCTCTGAAATTTGTTGAAGCCCTCTGAAGCCCTGTGAAGTCTCCAAAAGCCTTCTGAAGCCTTCTCAAGCCTCCAGAAGACTTCTCAAGCCCTTTGAAGACTTCAGAAGCCTCCAGAAGCCTTCTGAATTCTTCTCAAGCCCTTTGAATCCTCCTGAAGCCCTATTAATCTTTCTGAATCTTTCCAAAGCCTTCGGAAGCCTTGTAAAGCCTTCTGAAGCCTCCAGAAGCCTCCAGAAGCCTCCAGAAGCTTTCTGAAGCCCTAAGAAGCCTTCTCAAACCTTCTCAAGCCCTATGAATCTTTTTGAAGCCTTCTGAAGCCTCCAAAAATTTCTGAAGCCTTGTGAAACCTTCTGAAGCTTTCTGAAGCTCTATGAATCCTTCTCAAGCCTCCAAAAGCCTTCTGAAGCTTTCTCGAGCCTTCTGAAGTCTTCTGAATCCTTCTCAAGCCTTGTAAAATCTTCAAGGGCCTTTTGAAGCCTCCGGAAGCCTTCCCAAGCCTTCTGAAACATCCTGATTTCCAGGCCTAACCTACAAAGGTGTAAAAGTGACAGTCGATTTGGGATGGTCGTATTGGATGGCAATCATCGCTGTATTCTTCACCTTCGTCACCACAATTTTGGAAGGAGTTCAGGCGTTCAAAATTATGAAAAATTACAAAATTGATTATCCATACCCACCAGAAGCTATTACCACGTGGAAGTTTACTATGTGAAACTTTTTTTTTGGTTTTGTAATTTATGAAAGTTATCATAACTTCCACATTGTTTATCAGAAAATGCAAAAAATGCCTAAAAAGGCCAAGGTATCAAATTACTTCTTTTTTTGTGGCATACATATTAATTACAAGGTTCCCCCGAAAAAAAGTTTTGTTTATATTTGATACTTTCCAGGGATGTTCGTGGTGGTCTAAAAATAGAGAATTCAGTTTTTGAACTCGATTTTGCGGGGTAAAGTACACTTTTTGAAAAATCTACTGTTTTTTTTTTCTGAAAATTTTTCTTTTTGATAAAGATATGAAAAAGATAAGAGAATAATCTGCCCGAATTGTTTTTTTTCAGAATTTTTTTTTAAATAAAAAAAATCGTCTGTCGAGTTTTGATCTTTATATTTCAAAATTTCGAGAAGATTCTGAAAAATCTGAAAATTTTTTTGAGGATGATATTTTCAGAACTGCAATTTATTACCGATTTTTTCCATGAAAACATCGAAATTGAAAAAAAAACCAAAAAAAAGTTAAATGAAATTTTGAAATTTAAAAATTGGTTTTCAGGATCAATTCTGAAACTTTTCTGGAATTTTTCCATCTTAAAATTTTTTCTGAAAATCTCCAAACATTTTTTAAGCCTTCTGAAGCCCTGTGAAGTCTAGTGAAGCCCTGTGAGCCCCTGATAAGCCTTCTAGATTTTTCTGAAGCCTCTGAAAGTCCTGTAAAGCCTTCTAGAGCCTTCCGAAGCCTACTGAAGCCTCGAAAAGCCTTCTGAAGCCCTGTGAATCCCCGTAAAGCCTCCGAAAGCCTTCTGAAGCCTCCAGAAGCCCTGTGAATCCCCGTAAAGCCTCCAGAAGCCTTCTGAAGCCTCCAAAAGCCTTGTGACTAAATTTTTTCTGAAAAAAAAATGATCCCAAAACTTTTTTCAACTAAAACATTTTTATTCTTCGACAAACACCAAATCAAACAAGAAAAGCCATAAAAAACGCGCCAAAAGCAAATTCAAAAATTCAAAAATTCTAAGCATAACGTCCACGATTATCAATAAAAAAGTTGTATTCGGGTCGGAAAATGTCGGTGAATGTCATGTTCCTTTGATATCCACTAACACAATTATGAACAATTTTGACGTGCGTCGGATAAATCTTGATGTCATTAATGTCTCCGAGCTTCCTTCGAATACATTTGCGAAGCAACAATCCATCCTTGTCACCATATCGATCAACAAATTCCAAAATCAGGAACCAATCTTTCTGCGATTGACATCGAATATTGTAGTGTGTTCGGAAGTAGCGTTGCGATGGATTGTAGAAGTTTGGATAGGAGGAGATGGTGCGGCAGCAAAATGTGAGAGCGAGAAGAAAAACGACCACCAGTTTGTGCGAGACCATCTCGATAGAATGAGGTTTTGGGGGCGGAGAGACCATTTGCAAAATGTTTACAGTTGGTTTTTTGAACGCGCCATGGGGACGTTCAATTTTTTTGTGCTCGATTCGTTATCTTTTCGTGAGGAAAAAAAGAGGAAAAAAATGATTTATGTTCAAAGTACAGACGTTTTTAAAGGAACATTGAAGGAAGTACTGTATGAAAATTACTGTAGTTAGAATTCGGGTACTGTATTTTGAATCAAGATGCTGTAACTTTAATTGAATTATGAAAAAAAAATCAAGGAAGATGAGCATTTGTGTGAAAATATGACTTTTTAAAGGAACATTGAAGAAGTACTGTATGAAAATAAATTGATATACTGTAGTTTGAATTCAGGTACTGTAGTTTGAATCAAGATTCTGTAACTTGAATTGAATTATAAGAAAATTTAAGAAAGATGAGAATTTGTGGGAAAAATATGACTTTTTAAAGGAACATTGGGGTACTGTATTTAAGAGAAGGTTACTGTAGTTTAAATAAACATAGAGTAAAGTACTGTAATTTTGGAAATCCTTATGACAAAAATCAAACAAAAGAAAAATGGAAGAAATTTTTGACACAGACTTTTTTCAAAGGAAAATTGGGGTACTGTATTTGGAAAAAGAGTACTGTATTTTGAAAAACGTAGATCTAAAAAACGAAATTTTTGAGCCTAAATAAGCCTAGGTTTGAGCCTGAAAAGGCCTGAATATTTTGCTCTAAAATTTTCAGATTTCTGAAACTATGTGGGCCTAGATTTTCAGCCTGAAAATTTGCCTAAATCAGGCCAGATCTTCTGGCTTGAAACATAGATTTTCACCTGAAAATTTCAGATTTTTCAAACACAAACAATTTTTTCTGATAAAAAATTTTTATTTCTCAAAACATGATTAAAAGATTAGAACAGTTCAACCTCTAATTGATTTTCTGAATTCTCGCAATATTTTTGTCATTCCTGTATTCCAAAATAGGCATACGTTCAAAACGTAATCCAAGTGGCCAATCTGGAAAAAATCGATAATTGAAAAAATATATTTAATTTATGATAACTTACTGGTGAATTTCTTAAATTAAAGAAAAATTTGTGGGAAAATATGTCGACAGTTTAGATGTCGATTTTACATGTTTAGAATGTGAAGAATGAAAATGGCAGCTGAAAAATGGGAGATTTGGATTTGTTGTCATGGAGATAAAGAGCTTAACATTTAGAAGAGGGATGACGGGAAATATTGATTTTATTTTGGAAAAATGAAAATTGCTCATGTTAAGCTGCATGACAACTAATCTTACATAATTTCAGAAGTCTAAAAATTTAAAGCTTCAAAATCCAATTTAAGCTCACAAATCTGGGCTTCTTTAGGTTGAAAAAATCAGAGTTCTCAGCTCGAGAAGTATAGGCTTTTTGGGCTTAAAATACCTGAATTTCAGGCTGAAAAAGGTAGGCTGTTTTGGGCTCAAACCTAGGCTTGTTTGGGCTTAAAAAATCTGAATTTCAGGCTGACAATTGTAGGCTCATTCGGGCTCGAAAAAAGCCCGATTTCAGGCTCAAACCTAGGCTTGTTTGGGTTCAAAAAAATCCAATTTTTCGGACCAAATATATAGGCCCATCTGTGCTCAAAAATACAGATTTTCAATCCAAAACTTCAGCATGAAATTCTTTTTTTCAATTCAGATTTTCCAATTTTTCTCTCAAAATTTGTTTATTCCAAATATTTTTCCCAAAAAAAAGTATGTGAGGTAAAAAAAGAAATCGAACACCAAATTTTCAGTTTTTTGGTACAAAAATAAACAATGCACTTTTTTTTTGTAAAAAAAATTGTTTTATTTTTGATAAAAATATTGGATTTCAATGGTACAATGTCCAACTATTTTTCAAAAAATATTTTTTTTTGAATCCTGAAAAATCATGCCATCTGCAGAGGGGAAAAAATGTTTTGAAAAAAGGTCAACGAAATTTTTCTGGATATATTTATTTTCATTTTGAAAAAATGATAAGGAAAAATTGAAGATCAAGGATTTCGTGAAAAAAATGTTTTTTGAGCCTAAGAAGGCCTAGATTTGAGTCTGAAAATTCAGATTTCTGGCCCAGTTTTTTATCCTGAAAACTCGGACACTTTGAGCCTAAATAAGCCTAGATTTAAGGCTTGAGACTTGGATTTTTCAAGCCTAAATAAATCTGAATAATTTTCCTGAAAATCCGAAGTTCCCAACACAAACAATTTTTTCTGGTCAAAAATTTTTATTTCTCAAAACATGATTAAAAGATTAGAACAGTTCAACCTCTAATTGATTTTCTGAATTTCCGCAATATTTTTGTGATTCCTGTATTCCAAAATAGGCATACGTTCAAAACGTAATCCAAGTGGCCAATCTGGAAAAAATCAATGATTGAAAAAATATATTTGATTTATGATAACTTACTTGTGAATTTCTTAAAATAAAGAAAAATTTGTGGGAAAATATTTCGACAGTTTAGATGTCGATTTTACATGTTTAGAATGTGAAGAATGAAAATGGCAGCTGAAAAATGGGGAGATTTGGATTTGTTGTCATGGAGATAAAGAGATTAACATTTAGAAGAGGGATGAAGGAAATATTGATTTTATTTTGGAAATTTTCCGAAAATAATGAAATCATATATGTATTTTATATCAAAATTGGTTGGAGAAGCAGAGATATTTTCTGGGTCTTTAAAAAATTAATGAAAAAAAAAATTTATAACTCACTTTCAAAAAATTTGAATCCCACATAGAAGGTCTGCAGGGTTTCTCAAAAAGTTTTGAAATTTCATTTCGACAATGTAGATGTCAACTAATTTTTTTGGGATAATCTGTGTTTCGTTCTTTGATTGTTAACGAAATTGCAAAAATACTGAAAAAATGAACTATTTTTCTTTTGAAATAATTGAAAAGTCCAAAACTTACTCTTAAATTTTCATGGTGCATATCTCTATCATTTTTACGTAAAAATGTGCACATGCGTATGTGCTTTTCAAAAAAATTGAAATAAAAATTTGAAAAATTATTTCGATAATGTAGATATCGATAATCACAAATTAGATGCTAGTGATGATTTTTTTTGTCGAAGATCTATCTAGTATACAAAATCGATGTTACCATTCTGAAATCAAAAATCAATAACACATTTTTGAGCTGAAAACTTACTTTCTATTAATTTTCTACGAATATAAGTGAATATGGGTGATTGTTTTTCAAGAAATTGAAATAAAAATTTGAAAAATTTGTAAAATCATTTCGACAATATAGATGTCGATTTGGAAAATTATAAAATTTGGTTACACGAGGAGAAAAATCATGTCAAAAATGGGAGTTTTTTCATTGATAAGGGTGCCACGAAAAATCTGAAGAAAATATAATAGTATGCTGGAGAGACGCAGAAAAATAATCTACAAAAAACTTTTATCAACAAAAATTATTCATTGCCAGAAAATAGTTAAAAGTTGAGAACTAAAAAACACAGAGGAAACGTTTTTCTCTGACTTCTCTTGATTCTACCTTATCTCTCTCTCACACACAGAGTTCCGCAAAAAAGTTGGTGTGTAACAATCACTTCTCGAATTATGTTTCATGACATGTCTGTTCCAAAATATCTCACTTGAAAAACTTCACGTCGAAAATTTTGGCGCCAAAAAATTTTACGTCAAAAAATCTAGTGAATGTTGTGATTTTAAGAAATGACCCAAAAAATGTTTGTTCCAAAATATCTCACCTGAAAAAATTCCACAAAAAAATTTTGGCGCCAAAAAATATTCACGTCAAAGATTTTTGCAAATTTAAAATCAATTTTGAATCCTATGCAATTTTCATCTTTCCTTTTTTGTCAGGGTAAAGCTGTTAACGCTGAGTTTTGAGGACAAGGCTGAAAAATCGATTTCAAGGCTCATAATCTTCACTTCCTGTTAACACCTGCTCATAAAGTAACCACAGGGAAGCACATATATATAACTGTCTGCGTCTCTTTTATTCTGACTATCTTTTCATTTTCAAAAATCAATTCTCTAACAATCTTCGTCTCTTCGATAGATTTTAGATTCATTGTCAAGGCGATAAAGAGATTTATATGAGATGAAGATTTGAGGCGGGGAAACAAAAAGAAAAAATCGATTTTAGGTTAAGCTCAATTTCAAAGGCGCTGAATAGTTATCTGAAAGAAAAACACGAGAAAAAGAATTTTAAAGGGGAGTCTGACATAAAAATCAGAGCTCGATGAGCTGATCAGAATGCTGTAAAAACTAGCGGACAACCTCCAGGCTGAGCCGAGAAAATCCACCAAAACCGGTGTAGCCGGTAAGTGTCTGCATCCTCATTCTAAAAGTCGCAGGTTCGAATCCACCTTGCGACTAATTTTTTTTCCTGAAATTTTCTGATTCTGGAAATTCAAATACAATATTACATATAATAATGATTTATTTCAAAACAATTTTATAATTTCGGTGTTCGGACAAAGGATTGTTGTGGGCATGCTGAAAAATATTTTTTTTAGATATTTTCTGGCTCTTGAATAAATTAATGAAAAAAAAAATTATAACTCACTTTCAAAAAATTTGAATCCCACATAGAAGGTCTGCAGGGTTTCTCAAAAAGTTTTGAAATTTCATTTCGACAATGTAGATGTCGAATTTGATAGCATACATTTTTTGCGATAATCTTTATGCTTTGTTTTGCTTGCTATTCTCTGAAGAATGTTTAATTACACTGAAAAAATGAACTATTTTTCTTTTAAAATAATTAAAAAAGTCCAAAACTTACTCTTAAATTTTCATGAGGCACATTTCATTGATGAAGGCGAATTTCTCTCTCTGAAAATGAAAATCGATATATTTTTATCTCAAATTAAAATCTAGAACTTACTTTTAATTTTTTTCTACGAATCGACGTGAACATGTGTACATGGAAAATTTCTTTTCGAAAATTGAAATAAAAATTTGAAAAATTATTTCGATAATTTAGATATCGATAATCACAAAATAGATGCTAGTGCTGATTTTTTTTGTCGAAGATCTATTTAATATACAAAATCGATATTATCATCCTGAAATCAAAAATCAATAACACATTTTTGAGCTGAAAACTTACTTTCTATTAATTTTCTACGCATGCATGTGCGCTTGCAATATTGATTTCCAAAAAATTGAAATAACAACAAAAATTTGGAAAAAAAATCATTTCGACAATATAGATGTCGATTTGTAAAATGATAAAATTTGGTTACACGAGGGAAAGGCGCACGTCAAAAATGGCAGTTTTTTCATTGATAAGAGTGTCACAAAGAAATAGAATGGTATGCTAGAGAGACGCAGAGAAATAATCTACAAAAATTTCTTATCAAGGAGCACTGTCTGAACTCTCTTGATTTTACATTGTCTTTCTCTCTCTCTCGCTCTTTCAAGTGAATGACGTCACGGCTTTTGAAAATGAAGAAATACAGTACTCTAGAGCTCAATGAGCTCTGAAAATGCATCCTCAATCTAAAGGTCGCAGGTTCGAATCCACCTTGCGACTATTTTTTTTCTGAAATTTTTCTGCTTCTGGAAATCAAACACAATATTACATATAATAATGATTTATTTCAAAACAGTTTTATAATTTTGGTGTTCGGACGAGGAATTGTTGTGGGCAGACTGAAAAAAAGATTTTTTTATTGAATCTAAAATAATTGAGTTATTAACTTACATGGTATCTTCGGATTTGATTGGAAACATCTGTTCTTGAATATTTCAAATGCACTGGCTCTGAAAAAAAAACATATTTTTGCAAATTTCAATTTCAAAAATCAATAATTTTAATTCACTTACGAGCAAATATTTTTCGAGCCAAATATTGCCGATTCTGTGTTCTGTAAAAAAAATATTGTCAGAAAAATTATTGATTTTTTTTCTGTACTTACCATTGAAAAAAAGGTTTGTAGAAATATTTCGACAGTTTAGATGTCGAATTGGAGTTGGTTAAATCTACATATGTATGAAGAAATGGAAAAAGGCAGCTGAAAAAAATGAGGGAATTTGGATTTGTTGTCAAGGTGATAAAGAGCTTAACATTAAGAAAAGGGATGTCGGAAAATATTGATTTTATTTTGGAAATTTGAAAAAATTCGTGATATATATATTTTGTAAAATATAATATATTTGTAAAATATTTAATGGAATATACAAAAATTGAAGTTTATGACAAAATTTGTTAAAGATTATGTTTGCGGTTCTCTTTCGAATCAAGTTTATACATAAATATTCTGTGAAATGAATCATTTTTTTCCAGAAAAATGAAAAATCAAAAACTTACTCTTAAATTTTCATGAAGCACATTTCATTAATGAAGGCGAATTTCTCTCTCTGAAAATGAAAATCGATATATTTTTATCTCAAATTAAAATCTAGAACTTACTTTTAATTTTTTTCTACGAATCGACGTGAACATGTGTACATGGAAAATTTCTTTTCAAAAATTGATATAAAAATTTGAAAAATTATTTCGATAATTTAGATATCGATAATCACAAATTAGATGCTAGTGATGATATTTTTTTGAAGCACATCTCCATGATAAATGAGAAAGTTGATAGTCTGAAATCAAAAATCAATAGCAATTTTTTTGAACTGAAAACTTACTTTATATTAATTTTCTACGGATATATTCGATTTCGCCCGATAGTTTTTCAAGAAATTGAAATAAAATTTGAAAAATTTGAAAAATCATTTCGACAATATAGATGTCGATTTATAAAATGATAAAATTTGGTTACACGAGGAGAAAAATCATGTCAAAAATGGGAGTTTTTTCATTGATAAGAGTGTCACAAAGAAATATAATGGTAAGCTAGAGAGACGCAGAGAAATAATCTACAAAAATTTCTTATCAAGGAGCACTGTCTGAACTCTCTTGATTTTACATTCTCTCTCTCTCTCGCTCTTTCCAGTGAATGACGTCACGGCTTTTGAGAATGAAGAAATACATTATTCTAGAGCTCAATGAGCTGATAAGCTCTAGGCTGAGCCATGAAAATGAGCTCTGAAAATTCATCCTCATTCTGAAGCTCGCGGGTTCGAATCCACCTTGCGACTAATTTTTTTCCTAAATTTTTTTCTGCTTCTGGAAATCAAACACAATATTAAATACATATAATAATGATTTATTTCAAAACAATTTTATAATTTTGGTGTTCGGACAAAGAATTGTTACGGGCATGCTGAAAAAATTAGATTTTCTTAAAATTGAATCAAAAAATATTTCAACTTACATGGTATCTTCGGATGTGATTGGAAACATCTGTTTTTGAACATTTCAAATGATCTCGCTCTGAAAAAAAAGATGTTTACAAATTTCAAAAATCAATAATTTTAATTCACTTACGAGCAAAAACGCCTCGAGCCAAATATCTCTGATTCTGTGTTCTGCAAAAAATTATTGTCAGGAAAAATTATTGATTTTTTTTTCTGTACTTACCATTGAAAAAAGGTTTTTAGAAATATTTCGACAGTTTAGATGTCGAATTGGAGTTGGTTGAATCTACATATGTATGAAGAAATGAAAAAAGCAGCTGAAAAAATGAGGGGATTTGGATTTGTTGTCAAGGTGATAAGGAGCTTAAAATATAGAAGAGGGATGACGGAAAATATTGATTTTTTCTGGAAATTTGAAACGGAGTAGATTGTGAAGTATATATTTTGTGAAATATAAAATACAAAAATCAAAAATTTTTTATTGCAAATAAAAATATAAAACTCAATTTTAATTATTTTTCACGATCATATGTGAGCTCTTGTGAGTTCGCTTTCCAAAGAATAGAAATTGAAATTTGAAAAATAATTTCGACAATGTAGATGTCGAATTTAAAATCAAAATTTATAACTTATTGGTCGTGCGGACGAATTTATCAATGCCGTTTTTTGTGAGCTAATTTCTGGATGCTAGTGATGATATTTTTTGAGGCACATCTCCATGAAAAATGAGAAAGTTGATAG